CATTCTAGAAGGGAATTTTCAGCCGTTCTTTCCTGTGTGATGTGCGATAGCTACCTTTTCGCCATGGGAGTGGCTTCATGGTTCTTGCTATTGGTAGTGAGATGTGTAACTGAGGCTGAGCTGTGAGGGAGTTAAGAGTGTCCATGGGGGCGTCCCTGAGTGGCAGTCTTCCTCTATATGAAGTGGACTACCATGCTTGCTTAATGAGTGGAGTCCACCACTTGAGGACAGGGATGCGCTGAAAACAGTTAAAGGAATAAGGATTGGGACTGGGGGGAGGGTTCTCAAGACAGTGACCACACAATTATGGAAGGGAGATTGGCAGTGGTGGCACTTTAATCCCAGCACTTGGGAGGCAGAGGCAGGTGGATCTCTGTGAGTTGGAGGCCATCCTGGTCAGGAAAGAGAGAGAGAGAGAGACAGATAGACAGACAGACAGAGTGTGTTCTAGAACACCCAGAGCTACACAGGAAAACCCTGTCTCGAACAAACAAATAAACAAACAAACAAAAAACCAGAAGGGAAGGGGGAAAAGTTTTAATGTCTAGAGAATGGTAAAAGCAAGCAAACACACTCAGCAAGTGTCCCACTGGATTTTTATTCCTAGAGTGGGCTGGTGCCTCACATTCTTATGAGATTGGTTAATTTGAAGCAGAGCAACTGATAAGCAGAATGAAGCCTCGAGCAGAGAAAGCAGCCTCAAGCACATGCTTCCATTTCAGGGCAATGCTAACTCAGGAGATAGTTTTTTATTATTTTTTATTTTTTTATTTTTGTCAAATGGCAATTAAAAAAATTAAGTGGAGCTTTCTTTGTCTTATGTAACCTTTCGACAAAGAAGACAATATATTTCTTTCACATTTCCCACAGTTGTGTAGACAAATTTTGTAGTGCTTTGAAAACAGCCTGTAAGAGTTGGGGGTGTTGGCAAGTGGCTATGGAGGTGTTGGCCACTGTTATGTGTAAGAAGAAAGGCCACTGAAAGCCAGATGGCTGCGCAGCTGGAGCTAAGCAGGAGGAATTACGATGGGATGCAGTTAGCATCCTCCGTGTTCCCTCTGATTTGGCAGGAAAATTAGATAAAAGATACGAGAACACTGGTTTGTCACTCCTTATGGCTGGGGGCTGATGGGAAAACAGGCAAGTTAGATCTTTGCTAAGAAGCCCTACCTGGGAGCCAAGCACTTGGAACTCATGGAAGGAGAGTTCAACAGGGACAGAAAATAACCCTTGTATAGGAACTTCAACAGAGAAAAAGGGGAATCTGTGATCTGAGATGCAGATGAGGGCCTTAACTATAGGAAACTATGATGATCAGGAAATGCTTGGCCCCTGGACTGCTTTAATTGGGAAAGACTTCTAAACAATTAAAAGAATTTGTCACAGCCTGACTACTGAGGCTATGGGACATGGGAACAGATGGGATCAATCTAACTGCTGTGGAGGCAGAAAAAAAAAATGAGCAATGCAATGACCCATCCCTCCTTAAGACAAATGAGCTGTTACCTGAGAGAGTATGAGGGAAATCAGTCCTTGATGGACTGGCTAGGTAGAACCCTTAGGAACACTTGAGGAGGTGGGGAGAAGCTGTGTTTGAACACAAGTTCACCAGGCCAGAAAGAATGATGTTCACTGGACAGTTACAAAGAAAGTTGAGGGGCTGGAGAGATGACTCAGAGGTTAAGAACACTGGGTACTCTTCCAAAGGTCCTGAGTTCAATTCCCAGCAACCACATGGTGGCTCATAACCATCTACAGTGAGATCTGGTGCTCTCTTCTGGTTCACAGGCACACATGCAGGTAGAATACTATATAAATATTTTTTTTAAGGAAGTTGATTCAGCAGGGATCTTGGGACTGGTATGGAGGGCTTTAGTGGTTTTGTTTGATTCTCATGATGGGATGTGATCTTTTTGAAGTAGAAGAAGCTTTGGAAGACATGAATGACCAAGAACAGTATAGGAATTGAATTTGTAAAGTGGTAAAGTAATCTTTGAGAAATAGAAGGAGGAGGAAAAGGAAGAGGAGGAGGAGGAAGAGGAGGAGACGAAGGAGAAAAGAAGAAGAAGAGAAAGAAGAAGCAGAAGCAGCAGCCAAGATGTCTGTTATAGGTCACTTGCAAGCAAAATGTTATAAAATCTGGGTCAAGTTGGCATTCTTAAGAGAAAAACTGACAACAATCCAAATGTGTCAGGGAGCTTCTGGGAGGCTTCAAAGCCTGAGCAACAGTTTATTAACAACACAGTACAAATAAGAGAGCCTAAACTTGCCTTGAGGTGGGCAGTTACTTCCCCAGATTAAGCTGTAGGTACTTCTCTCCGGCAGGAAATAATGCTGCGCTCGGGAATTATTCATGCCGACTGGGGCCCTCACAGAGGCCAGGTGTGGACTGAGGGTGAAACAGTGGTGGAGACTACAGCTGCAGTGCCAGCCGGTACCCTTCCAGGCTAAGGGTTCTCACAGAAGCCAGGCATGGCTGAGAGAGAGACAATGACAGTGACTGCAGCCTGTCCAATCAAGGAGCCAACCCAAATGGCAAGAGCAAGCCCAGCCCAGCCTCTCTTTGCACCTGGGTCAGGCTTAGCAGTCTGAGCGAGCCCCTCCAAATGCATCCGAAGCAAGAAAATGCACTGTAGCTTGTGCGTAACACCCACAGACATGCTAACAAGGACAGGCGAAATGGCAAGAGGCCCTGCCCTTAGGTGACAAGCTATAGGCAATTAACAACCGTAGAGAGAGGGAAAATTAGTCCTCTCCAGGGCTGAGTCCCCTCATTGGTTATCTAATACCGAGTGGCCTGCCATTTAGTGTCATACAAGCAACATGAAATGGACTCGGCAGATGGCTGTGGACAAAGCTATCAGTTGTAGCCCGTGTGGTTAGAGCGACATTGGGTGCTGTGAGGTGCTGTGACCCTGGAAAGTGTTTCATGGAGAACGGTGCCCTAAGGTAACCAGAGACCAGACAGGTTGGAGAGACTAAAAATGGTTTATTGTGCTAAACCCACCTCTAAATCAGTGGTTCTCACCCTCTCTAATGCTGTGACCCTTTAAGACAGTGCCTCATGTTGTGGTGACCCCAACGATAAAAGTATTTCATTGCTTCTTCATTACTGTAATCTTATGGCTATTGTCATGAATCATAAGGTATCTGACATAAAGACTATCTGACATGCAGCCCAAAGGGGTCGTGACCAACAGGTTAAGAACCAACCGCTGCTCTAATTGGAAAATTGCTCTAATTTTTCTTTTCTGCTTTCCCTTTGTTCGGTCTTGCTGTTTTGCAACTGGGTTTCTCATAGCCCGGGCTGGCCATGAACTGCCTGAGGATGACCTTGAACTTTTCGGATCTGGCTGCTTCCACCTAGTGCTGGGGTTCCAGCCCCGCGCCACCACACTCAGCCACGTTCAGGCTTCTGTTGCTGGCATAACAACATACTGTAGCCTTAATGGCTTAGTCACTGCCTTTGACAGAAATCGACAGTTTTTGGGTCAAGAGTCCAACCCAGTTATCAAAAATCTAAACAGAAGAGAGCAGGGGAAAGGCTTACTTTCTTTCTAGAAGTTCGAGAGGGAAAGCTGCTCTCTCCTCCTGCCTTCCCTGCCTGTGACCTCCGCCCTCTGTGCTCAGAGCTCTGAGCAGCAGACAGATGTCGTTCTGCTGCTGCTGTCACCTCTTTGGGTCTCCGGCCACACCCTGAACTGGTTTTCCTCTATGTGCTTGCGGTTGCAGGGTGTCTACCCAGAGTGACCAGGATACTGTTGGTCCCCAGGTCAAGCTGAGTACCTGAGCCACACATGCAGTGTCCTTTGCCACTGGAGGTAATACACATGCAGGTTTGAGGGGTCAGTGTGTGGGCATCTTTGAGGAACAACCTTTCGCTCACCGTAGAGACTTGGAGCAGACATTCTAAGCAGTCAGTGACACACTGTCTTGATATAGAAAGAGACCGGAGGAGGCAGAGGGAGACACTGAGACCATGTTAATCGCGTGGGTAACTGCACCCCTTTCCAGTAATGAGAAGACGGTGAAGCTCTGCCATGTGCGCAGTGTCTTCAGACAGTCCCGAGCTGACGAAAGCGCTGTGGGACAGTGCCAGCTTCAGACTTTAAAAAGCCCGCCTGGCAGGGCTGCCATGGAACTCCGCTGGGAGAGGGCTTGCTGGCGTTCATGAAGCCTGGGGTCCGACCCCAGTGCCCGGTAAACTAGACGGCCTATGACTGCAGCTCCAGTCCTTGGGAGGTAGATGCGGGCAGAGCAGAAGCTCAAGGTCATCTGAACTCAACCTGAACGATATGACCCTACCTGTCCAATAAAAAACCAAACAACAACCCAAACCACTCCCAAACAGACCAACCTAGGCTAGACCTGTCCTTTAGGGTATGAAAATGGGCCCCATTAATAAGTGGAGACTTGAACTCAGGCCAGTCTGAGAGGAGAAGGGTTTTGGTTTGGGTTTGTTTTCACTCTAGTTTATACACTCCCCTTGGAGGAAAGGATGACGTTCTTTCCCAGCCTTGTTAGAGAAGAACCTGCTGCCGGTAATGGGCAGCCCACAGCCAGCGCCAGCACCAGGCAGGAGCACAAAGCCCGGGCACTCCTCTTGGGCCCACTTTGAAGGAGCATTCTGGCCCAGTCCTCAGCCCCCACATCACTGCTCACCATTCCCTTCCTCCTCTCCGAGGCCCTCAGCCCCACAAGGAGTCCCTTTGAGGAGGGTGCTTGACTTTCCCAGAGCGGCGCTCCAGGATTTTGGAGGAAGCGGGGTCCTCTTCACTAGGTCAAGAGTCATTTGGGTTCAGAGCCATGGGGCCGAGAGGCTGAGGTGAGTAAGTGCAGGGAGTCTGTCAGCCTCTGAGCAAAGCCAAGGTTAGAAATGCTCCTCCTGAATTCCAGGGGGAAACAGGGCACGCCCACTGGACGCACTATTTAGGTTTTATACCTATGTTACCATTGCACAGCGCTGTTGATTTCAGTGACACAAAAGGAAAACACACTACTTTGCCCAAGCAAACAAATTTTAGTGATTTTTATTTCAGGTCAATTTGCCCCAACGTGTTTCCCCAGAGCAGCCATAAAATATGCCAAGAAAAAAACAAAAACAAGCCATTTATCGGATAAACAATTTTTGAGGTTTTTTTTCTGTGATTAAATATTATACACACACTAACAAGAAGAAGAAAAATCAGCACCTGTAGTCTTAAACTTTACAAGTGTCTCCGCTCTTATCTTATTTATTCTTTAAAGCCCACGTAACTGTTTATATAGAAAGTTAATAAGTGGTAGGGTCTGGATACATTTTTAAAGTGGATTGGAAATCGGTGAGATTATTTTTCAATGAGACATTTATTTTGATTTCATCTATGCAAAGAATTAGAGGGAAAAAAAAAAGCAAAATAGTACTAAGGTAGAGATTTCAAAATATTTAGCCAGGAAGACAATTTATATGTTAAGAATCGACTCTGTTTCATTTAACTGGAGCATGCATCTCTTTCTCACCTCGCTAAGACAACGCCAGCTAGCAGCAAATGCAGGCTACATGTTAGCAGGGGTCACTTGTAAGCTCACTATCTGCTGCATTAAATAAACCTTATTTAGGCAACTGCTTTGAACACTTTGCAGATTCTGGTCCTTCCTGAAGTTTTCCGTTATTGATTTTTAAATCTTCACAAACTTCTCAGGAGGCCAAGCAGAATCGTGCCGCTGACCCAGTGGCTCTTTTTCTGTGATAGCCACCTGCGGTCACCCTCCCGGCCTGTTGGTGTTTATGGAGAGCCTGCTGTGGGCCTGAGGCCTGCACCAGGGCCGTGCAGCAGACGCCATGGAAACAAGAGATTAAATTTGCCTGGAGCTTTCATCCAGATTAGCAAGGACTATAAGCACGTCAGCCAGGTATTAATTTCTTGCTTACCAGCAACAACGACAAAATAGTTTTCTAGCAACATCATGGCTTTCGATGTTTCTTAAGCTGGTGGGAAAAGCTCTCATTAATAACTTTTTTTTTTAAAGACAAAATTTATGTAGAATCGGATAGGCTAGCCTCCAGAGGTTTGTATATTCACGGATGAGGTTTTACAACACAAAGTAGCAGATGTATTTCATAATTATTCACACACCAAGGTACATTTCTTATCTTTGATGCTTTAAGAGTAAAATGTCAGGACATTTTTGTGATTTCCTCTAACCATTAACACAGGAGGGAGGTTCTTGGTCAGAATTTCTAGCCACGCCATGTACAACAAATCCGATATAGATCCTTTCCTTGCCACTGGAAGGCTCCTGATGACATGGAAGAAAAATTAAAACCGAAGAGAAAGTTACAGCCAGCAGGGACATTATCTGTGCTTCTGAATTAGCAATAACCAGCAGCCTGGAAGGTTTATCATGTTCCCCCTCAAATAAGGGCACTGCAATTATTATTATTTTGAATACAGAAATAAAATTGATGCATTTTCCAGATAATGCAAACATCTATAAGTGAGAAAAAATGGCTTAATCATTATACAGACAAAATAAAATCGTAACTCCTGATTTTACTTTAAATAAAGAATGTAATCAGAAGCTATCCGCCCTATGGAGGAAGCTACTCTTCCCTCCAAGATCTACCGGCGTTGGGGGCATTAGAAATGGCAGTCCTCCAAGGCTACACCATGCTTTAAGATACGTATCTTCGCATATAGGTCGGCTCGTGGGATAAAAATGAAATCGTTGGACATCTCCCCATTCTTGAGCAATTTTTTTTCAGTAGGCATACTCCTAACATTAGTGGGACCGTGAGCTAAAGAATGAAAATGGAAAAGCTCATGGCCCCTTGTCTTTGGTGACGCGTTCCCACACTGCAGGGAACTCTGTGGGTCAGCTGTGGACATGCACAGCTCAGGAGCTCCCACCCAAGGAAGGTGCCCGTGAGCCTGGGGCCCACTTGGGCTATTGGGAGGGAATTTCAGCATTCCAGGCTCCTGAAGCCTGGTCCATGTGGAACCATAAGGGTAGTTTCAGTGCGACGTTCCTGGCCCCATGAGTGTGGTAGGACTGCAAGTTCTAGGCAATTCGAGTTCAAGGCAATCCCTGAGACGTTCCCAGGACCCCATCACCCCCATCTTAGGCTGACGTTTATCTTTTTTCACTGCCTAAACTCCCATATGGTCCAACCCATCTTTTAAAAACATCTGTCCACTGGGCAGCCCAGTCATCCTATCCCTTCTTCCTACCAATCTTAACTTACAGCACGATCAGGTTGGCAGCTCGGGAGTGTTCCTGTAGGAGCTCATTCAGGCGAACTTGGCGGTAACTCTGGGGACAGAGTTTATACGGAGGTGAGCGCAGGTCTACCAGAGTTATGAATGAGAGTTTACCTTCCCACCTCAAGTCATGGATGAGCAGAAGATATCATTTTAAAAGAGTAATTACTAAAAAGAAACAGGGTGTACTTTTAAAAACAAAGGTTCAATGTAAAGCTTCATGGGAAATTTTAGAAATGTAAAGGGTGAGCCTGGATTGTCACTGTGAGATGGTAGCTTATCAGGTTCTAGGGGTGTAGTGCAAACAAGACAAATGGCAACCCCCCCCCCAAAAAAAAAAGACCAGTGCAGAGAGAGAGTTTGGGAACAGGCTTTCGTTTTAAGAAAACCAATTGAATCTTGCTATCCCGTTGATAGCCTAAGAAGATAGGTTCTGTCCTGTTCTGTTTTCTCTAAGTTCCCTGACAATATTAGTATAGGACAGGTTTCAAGTAAAAAGCCACCAGTAAACTCACTGGAAAACTATTTTACAGTGATAAGGATAATATTCATTTTTTTTTTTTTTGTATTTCACTGGTTCAGACCCAATCCCAGATAGATGTCTATCTGGGATTGGGTCTGAACCAGTGAAATACAAAAAATTATATGCTTTGCCTCTGTTAACACTGGGTACTTAATTAAACGTACAATTTATTGTTCTATTTCAGCGTTGTCTTCACTCATGCTGGAAGGGTTTATTATGTTCTTCCTCTAAGTCTCCCAGCTGAGATACTAATGTAGTTTATAAGTTCTTGTGGCCCTTGTTCTTTAATGTCCAGTTAAGATGTTGAGTTTTGTACTTAAATCTGCATCCCTGTTTTTTTTATCATCGTCATCATCATCATCATCATTAGAACTACTACTACTACCCCCCCCCCCTTCATCTTAAGCTCAGGCCAGAGAGAAACTTCTGGTTGCTCTCTGTCTCCCTCAGATGCCTGGGATTTGTGATCCTCTTGCTTCAGCCTCCAGAGTGCTGGGATTACAGGCTGTTATGCTATCCTCGAAAACTCATCATTTCACATCCATTACAAGTGTGTGTCAGATGCAACTTACACACACACACACACACACACACACACACACACACACACCATTGTCTTATCATTCCTGTCTGTGTGTGACGTATGTACAAGTGCTGCAGTGGGCTGCAGATGTCAGAGGGCAACTTTTTATGAATCTATTTTCTGCTTCCACATCTGGACCTGGGGACTGAACTCAAGACTCCCGAGGAGCTGTCTTGCTAGCACCAGGCGCAACATCTGTGTGCTTATCATGTGTAGTGTTTGTCATCATAAATTTCTAGAGATTTTTTTGCTAGTTTTTCACAGCTATGTTTAGCAGGTTAAGAGTCTCTGTTATTCTTTAAATTGTGGGTCAATTTATCTTTATCCATATTGCATGCCTAATGACTGAAGTTATTTTTTGCTTAAGAAAAATAAATTTCGAAGGAAACCTCACAATATGGACCAATAGCTTGTTTTGTTAACTTAAAAATAAGTTTTTTTTCTAGAAAAAAAAAAGGGTTTTCTAAATAATTATATCCAGTAATATGATTGAAAAGCATCTGAAAATACAGGTGGCCAGGATGCTGAGTAAGGCAGGTTGACCAGGAGTGTCAAGTTTTTGAAATCAACCACTGATTCCTCTTTCACCTAATCAGACAGTACAGTGAAAACGAAGGAAGACAATTCCTCACCTTTTCCTTGACTGCTTCCAGTTCTGCATCTGTAATTTTCCACGGACTTTCTCTTTTTAATTTCTCAGCAGTGGTCAAATCTTTGTGGCTTTCATGGAGCCGATAAGGTTCAATCATCTCTTCAAAAACTTTCCAGCTGAAATTGGAATTGTAAAGGAGGCTGCACAGTGGGAAACTGGACTCATTATTTCACAGATGCTCGGAATCAGAGCTGAATGGTATGCAAATCCTTTAAGAGAAATCTCCATAGGGAACTTACTGTGAAGGAAACCTTGGACATAGTACTCCCGCAGTAGTCAAAGGAAGCAGTTGGTGTGTTTGAGGCCTAGTTAGTTTGCAAGGGTCATCAATATTATTAATTCATGACCACGTGGATAGTAACTACTCCACAGCTATGTTTTCCGCATAATGGAGTTAAAGACCCATTTGTGCTGTAGACACCTAAGCCCACATCTGAGTTTCTATTTGCTTGTTGTTCTGATCAGTGGGAGGCATCTATCAGTTTCTGTACTTGAGAGATGACCTCTATTCGTTGCAAACTGGGGTCCCTTTTCACCTGCAGTCAACTAACAATGCCCATCCTGTCAGGAGGCTTTTGGGCAGATAGGAAAATAGCCTGGGCTCCCACAGGCTTAACAGTTCTAGTGCAAAAATGTCTGCTGAAAATAATGGTGTCCTTGTCCTGGTGTTTGATGTTGCTGTCTGAGATTTTCAAATGACTATTATTCATGTTTGTGTTAAGTGAGAGGATGAAAATCAATAACATTTAATGCCTAAAAATCTGAGGCCATCTTAGGGCATCTAAAAATAAATCATTGAGAAAGCAGGAAGCTGTATGTGAGAGCTATGGAACATTTAAAAACTGCGAGGAGAATCTCATTCTTGTCTTACATGATAATCTCCTAAGATTTATTCTTCAAACCACAGCACAAAGCAAAGCTTATAATTTATGGAAGGAGTTGTCTTCAGAGCTCCGAATACTTTTCTTTAGTTTTATATAAGTTAGTACTTACAATTTAGTAACTATGGGATGAATGATAATTAGAATCCATATGCTTTGTGGTTAAGAAATTAAAAATACAAAGCGATGAATTTAATTATCTCATCAGTTGGCCAGATTTAGAATTTGCAGATAAAAGTGTGGAGATTACAAAGGAGTGAAATCATCTCTGCCGGTAAAGCCTTGGTTACAGGACCGAAGAGATACTGAATGCAGCAGATTTCTAGTACACTGACTCACACTGAGACAGACAAGCAAGAGAATTGATGGTGCCCCTATTATTCTTTCAACAATACTTCCATTTCCTGTTACTTCCCATGGTGTAAGGCTCTACAGGGCTGTGATGACACTCAGTGACATGCAGGCACTGGCCTCCGAGCCTGGATTATTGCTCTAGCTCTTCTACTGTCCTCAGTATAGTTACCCTGGCCACTGGGAGCTTTGTGCGAGCCCAAGTGTATGAAGCGCCTTGGGAAGGTGAGGCAGCAGGGTGCTGACCAGGCCCAGAACTTGGTTTCCATATGGAAAGTACTGTTTAAACTCTACATGTTCTTCTCCTGGTAGAGCCAGAGTTGCTCTGCACCTCATCTGGAGCCTGGCTAGAAAGCACAGCGTAAAAATGATTTCCCAAGAAGCAGAGTGGAGTGGAAATCAGTGGTTGTTTGCACAGTGTCCGTGGTGAGAACTGTTCCGTCTATAGCATCAAGCAGTTTAGCACATTTCCACGCTTTCCAAGACAGTTTTGAACTAATACACACCTGATATTATGGTGCCTACCATCGGTGGCCCAGTGGTTGGGGGGGGGGGACAACGAATTCTAAATGAAGTGCAAGCTGACCTCAGTGACTAGGGACAGCCACTTTCTCTCCTACTGAACACACAAGAACAACTATGCAGTCCTATTTGTTACTGTCGGTCATCCTGCTATTATGAGCCAAATAAACTTTACACAAGAAGGTAGAATAGGGAGAACGAAAGAGAACCAGTCCTTAGTTATACAGTTTAATTTCTAGGTTGTTTACCCAAAAGCCAGCCTACACTTGTACTTAATTGTGTGTGACAATCATTTCTGTCATCTAAATCACTATGAGGTTTTCTCGCACTTGCATTTGAAACGTGCTAAGGGACACAGTGTTGTGAGGAGGCTGTCTTTGCCCGTTCCTCTGCTGATTTCTTGTCTCCAGCTGTCCCCTTTCCGTCCCAGTCAGGTGATCTTAAAGCAGGACATAGTTTCTGTTCTCACTTATCTGATTTCTGTTTTCTTTTTTAAGTTTGGAAAAAAAAAGTTATTTATTTTTATTTTATATGCATCGGTGTTTAGGCTGCCTGCACATCTATGCACCACCTATGCCGGAGGTCCAGGTAGACCAGAACAGGGCGTTGGATCTCCTGGAACTGGAGGTCTAGATGGTTGCTAGCCACCATGCAGATCTTAAGAATTGAACCCTGGTCCTCTGGAAGAACAGCCAGTGGTCTTAATGCTGGGCCATCTTTCCAGGTGCTAAGTGATTTTTTTTAAAAAATACCTTTTAATGGACTCTCAGCCTTATCTGTAATATCAGCTGTTAAATATAAACAAAGATTAATTCAATATTTTTAAAAGTAACTAATAACTGCTCTTTTCATACCAATGTTTAACACTGTTTTAACTGCATAAAACTTTCTCCCTGAGAGAGGAATGGTAAGGAGGAAAATGATGTATTTTCATTTCAAAGAAAGGATATTAATTTAAAACTTTCTCTTTGGTCCACATAAGCTTCTCTCTTGCACAGTAATATATTATAGTTGTTGTTGTTTTTTGACTACGCTAGCATCTAGTATCTTTAAACTAAATTATCTAGTTAATTGCGTTCAGTTTCTTTTTGACTTCCATATAAAGACTGTTGTCTTTGGCCCATGACTTTTCATTCGGTTTATACAATAAAAATGGAGTCTAACCGCAATATGTCCTATGTTTCTTCAGCCACAGTTATTCTCTCATTTAGTTGATATTTGTAATGTCTTCATCCTTGCCCCTCTCATGTTTAGAGATAAGGTTTCCGTGCCAGAAAGACTCAGACATGGCTAACTAACACAAAGAATTACACAAAGGTGATTGAAAGATAATTTAACATTAGCCTTCCACAAGCAAATGACTGACAAACTGTTATCTACCTTGTATAACACCAGGTGAGCCAGAAAAAACAAAAAGCGATCTGGGGATAGTTATTAATGGTGGTGAAGGAAGTCCAGTCTTCACGAAGACCACCATGGGTGCTGAAATTCAAACAGTATTTTTTCTCTCTCTCTTTTTAAAAACTTATTTATTTATCATGTATACATTGTTCTGCTTGCATGTACACCTGCAGGCCAGAAGAGGGCAGCAGATCTCATTATAGATGGTTGTGAGTCACCACGTGGTTGCTGGGAATTGAACTCAGGACCTCTGGAAGAGCATCCAGTGCTTTTAATTTCTGAGCCACCTCTCCAGCCCTCATGTATTCTTCCTCTTTAAAGGCTTGTTTATCCATGTATTTTATGTATACGAGTTTTCTGTCTTTATGTATGCCAGAAGAGGGAATCAGATCCCGTTATAGATTGGTTGTGAGCCACCATGTGGGTGCTGGGAATTGAACTCAGGACCTCTGTAAGTGCAGCCAGTGCTCTTAACTACTGAGCCAGCTCTCCAGCCACTAGGGCAATGTTCTCTCTATGGCTTAGCTCAGTGGCCTGGGGCTGCGTCCATCTAGAAGAGCCTTCTCTCTTTGATTGGACCATCCAGAGGAATTAATACAAATGTGCTCAACCTGCTACCAGAGGCCATGGGTGCCACGGACCAAATGAGTGTTTTCTGTTCTAAACTAGGGCTACTTTCAAATCCTGGGACATGAGTTGCCAGCAGGGTACATGGCATTTTACAAAGCAATATGGCCAAAGTGTGGTAGAAGGATGAGAGATGGGTTTTCTGCACACGCCTCCTGGCAGATGGCCTCTTTTCTCACGACAGCACAGAATGGCCACCACAATTATTTCACCTTAGTAAAGGATGGATGTGTTCTCCCTGTATCGTTTTTCCAACCTTGATACAGCAGAAAGTCTGTGAAACTCTGAAACCTAAGTTACTGGTTTCTCGAGGAAGAGAAGTCATTCTCTTTGCAGGAGGACAATCTGTGAGGAACACCAGTGGTGTCTGGAATAAAGTTTCATACAAGGACAAAAACGAAAACGCCCCGAGAAGAGGCCAGCATGGGGCAAGGCTCAGCGTAGTAAGATGACGTGTGTCTGTCCTATGACAAGTAGGTATTCCCGGAACCGAGAGGCCGGTTAATAAATGTAACATATCACATGCTCAGAACAGCAAGGTTAAGAACGCAGGGTGGTGGCTGCCGCAGCTGAGTGGAGGCTAGGATGGGTGACACAGAAAGAAACAGGTCTCTCCAGGTACAGAAAACTAGGTCAAGGAGTACAAAGACGAGGGAGTTGAGGCAGAACTACCTACTTGTGAAGATAAATAATGAGGAAAAATCCCACTACTGTAAAACCTGGGGGCTAAGTTGTGCTCAGCGTAGAACAGGAGCTTAAAGAGAAGCAGCATCTATCCTCCAGACCATGGAAGGCGGCTCAGCCTTGACATACAATGATAGCTAACCCTGCCACTAAGGGCTTCACGCTGAGAGTCATTCTGCCTGTTCTGTTACGAAGGATCCATCTCTCCCAACCAGAACCACACGATGAGCGTGTTGGGTCAGATGACTGAAAATGCCACAGAGTACTGACCAAGTGCTCTTCAAGTGAAGAGAGACTGCGTGGCAATCCAGTTTGGATCGGAACAGTACTCCCACTTACCAGGGGGATTGCACACCTGCTGTTTTACTCACTTGCCTGTAAGCTCAGAAGCGTAAGCATGTCAGGCACTGGAGGTATGGGTGACACTAGGGGACGTCATAGAGCAGGTCTGGTTAGCCCTGTTACTGTCAGCTTTCTTACGGGTGAAGGGGCTTTACAAAGCATTCTAACCTTAGCGAGGTGTGGACACCCTAAACAAGACGGAGTTCAAGTTTATCTGGTCAACAAAGCCCACCTTAAGCCTAAATATTTTTAGATATTTATCAAGTTCCTCTAGGAAACACTATACCTCAAGAAAGGAAGAAGTGAGAAGACTTGGAGATTGCAAAAGTAGAAGCTGTCAAGAATTGCCAGAGAAAGCAGAAACTGTGCTCAAAAAGGGGGCAACGGGACTGACTATAGGACCCAAGACACTTAGAAGCCTCCATGTCCCGCTATGTGGGCTCCACTCTACTTTAAGACAAACATATTACATCGTATCCACAAGATACAGTAAATATAACTTGCTGCAAGAAACTGAAAACTTCTTGTAATTGCTAAATGATAAGCCCAAGCAGTTCATTTAATTTATAATTGACCAGGATAACAGGCAATATCCTTGCAGCTTGGGGATATCCTGTGAAGAAATAACCTGTGATAAGAGTGATACCATTGCCACCAGCTGAAAGGTCTGTGGAATGCTGAAGTTCACACGGTGAAGCCTAAGGCTCCAAAGTCGTGAGGTTTGGAGGTGGGGCCTTTAAGGGACACTTAGCTTGACATAGAGTCCCAAGGTGGCCTTGCTGGGCAGGGTGCTGCATGCCTTTAAGCCCAGAGCCTGAGGGGCAGAGACAGTGGATCTCTGAGTTCGAGGCCAGCCTGGTCTACACAGTGAATTCCAGGACAGCCAAGGCTACACAGAGAAACTGTCTCAAAAACAAAATAAAACAAACAGAAAAGACGGTGGCCCCACAAGGGAATTAGTGCCCTAGTAGAAGAGAAAGTGATACCAGAATTCTTTCTCCACCTTATAAGGACATATAGGACCAGCTTCAGGCTAGAAAAAGCATCCTTAACAGGTGCATATCACAAAACACCTTGCTCTGGCACTGCTCCGTCTCCATCCAGGACTTAGAAACAAGTGTCCGTTGGCCAAGCTGCCCAGCCTATGGCATTTTGTTAATGGCTAAGATAATAATGGAATTGATAAATTCAATAATTGATAAGGGTTAAAATGTTGCCACGCTCTGAAGACATTTAGGTGATAATTTCAGCTTTGCCAGCTTCCTGTTTTCTGGGAGTGGGGCTTCTAAATCACCTTCCTAGGTCTCAGGTAGTTTTAGGTGTTCCCTCAAGAGTTCACAGGCCTCACGCATTGAGCCCTGTAGCACCTAAAACCTAAAACAGTACTGGGATGGGCCCCTTTCCTCGGTTTCTCACCATAACCCTCTTCTCTCCATTAAAACCCGACTGGGTGGTTCTGTGTCATAGTTATTGAGAAGCATTTCTTTAATACCTATCATGAAGCCATTACAGTAAATACATTACATTTTCATCTTTTGTTAAGCAACATGAAAAAAAAATGAGAAAGAAGCAGGGGTGGTCAGCGGAGCTTGCTAAACAATTCATACCTCTCTTTGTTTGGCTTAATGTTGATGTCTCCAATTATATGGATGTCTGCAAATTTTATCCTGAATTTGCTGAGTAGAGAAGCCATTCTGGAAAAAAAAAAGAGAGAGAGAGAGAGAGAGAAACACACATCACTAGTACCTATGTAATTACTCTCTATCAAAAGTGTCTTTGTGTTTGAGTTAAGGTATCAAAAGCAATCAGTGTAGCTTTCAGACAGAGGCTTTCCAGTTTCGATTTGCGTCAACAGACGTGTTAGAGACGTTAAGTGGGAGCCAAGCTGTTCCGCAGAAGATAGACAGCAGTCAGTCGGCGAGCCACACACCTGCGAGCTCAGTGTGCCGAGGCAGGAGGGCTCTGAGGTAGACCACACTGGACTGTGCAGTGAGTTCCAGGCCAGCAGGACACACTCAGAGACACCTTGTCATAAAAATAAAATCCAAGATATAAAGAGAAGAAAGCCCAGTGGATACCAGAAAACTGAAAGGGCAAAGGGAACTTTGCATTCATCTTTATGAGAGAGAATATTATCCGCAAGACAGGCGCGCTAACTCTTCTGGCTGGAAGGTTTCATAAACTTGCCCACAGACTAGTAGCCACAGTGAATGGCTAAGTGTTGTTCTCCCCTGGAAACTGGTAATTTTAACATAAAGTTATAGAAATCTTGTAATGGTGGTACAGAGACTCCTAGACTTACCATTTGAGTTTTTCCAGTTCGGTTTGTTATTCTCTTTCTATCTATCTATGTATCTATCTATCTATCTATCTATCTATCTATCTATCTATCTATCTATCTATCTACCTACCTACCTATCCCATCCACTTCTTAAGGGCAATTAATGTATGCAATATTATTACATGAGCATTATAACGTTTTCGTTGAAAGTAAATAAGTGTAATTATATCCTTGTTATAAAATGTGGGTAGGCCATCACTACAGTCTTCTGAGAGGGATGGCAGTCCTGTCATTAGTGCAAGTTTTTGGAGCTCAGGACTTAAACCTGCCATGCAGGACCGAGAGCTGCTGATGGTGTTTCCCTAGGCTTCCCATGACAGCGATGAGTACATCCTGCTCTTGGATGTTTGTTGTTCTCACATGTATGTACCAGCTCCCAGTGGCTGCATTAGTGAAAAACTACAAAGATACATGATGCAACTTTAATAAAAGTGTCTTCCTTCCTTCCTTCCTTCCTTCCTTCCTTCCTTCCTTCCTTCCTTCCTTCCTTCCTTCCTTCCTTCCTTCCTTTCTGTCTTTGTCTGTCTTTCTTTCTTCTTTCTCTCTCTTTCTCTTTCTTACTTTCTCTTTCTTTCTTTCTTTCTCTCTCTCTCTCTCTCTCTCTCTCAAGACAGGGTGTCATTATGTAGCCTTGGCTTGTCAGGAACTCAACATATAGATCAGGTTGGCCATGAACTCCCTGTGAACTCCAGGCTGGGCTCAATTCAAAAGATCTGTCTGTCTCTACCTCCCAAGTGCTGAGAATTAAGGCATGTGCCATCACACCCAGATATCTCAAAGACGTTTAAAGCACTGAAAATTAAAGCAATAGATCAGCCCATCCTCAGAATGACAGAAAGTTGTGCCACAGATTACTCACGAAAGTTTTTCCTCCTCGATGCGGTTGATCTTTCCTCCAACATAGATCCTTAATTTACAGTCTTTCCACTTTTTTCTGAGAGTCAAGATATATGGGATAAGAAGTGTTAGCCCTGAAATAAAGAGAAAATAAAGGATGAGAGAAACTGAGAGAGAAAAAATGAGAGCATTATTTTTATTCTTTCCCATTATCATAACTGCTAAATGATTTATAGCCTTCGGGAAGTAAGGAATTGGGTTCTCAAGCTGACGTCCTTTTCCTATACAAGCACTTTATTTAATAACAGAGCAGGACTTCTGCTCCCCAGGGGACATTCTGGACAACTTACCTCCATCATCAAATAACCACCAGACATCAATCGTGCCTTTTCCTTGTTTCTTTTTAAACTGGGCGCTGGCCTCCACCAGTTTCTGATTGAACTCCCCCACATGTGTTGACTGGATGGTGGTGATGTTACCGTCTGAAATGGAGGACACAGTGATGCCTCTGTTTGTCTTTTGAGGACAGAAGCAGTGGGCTACTTTTAGACTCTTCTCCGTATCACCACAGTGGAATTACGATTCAGGCGTGTGGTGGCTTACACTTCAAAGGTAGCCCACAAGCTTATTTTTCTAGAGATGAGGAGAGAGGGCTGGGGAGGTCGCGTGGTTGTCAAAGTGGAAATGACATGAATGGTGGCACTTGTGTGCGATCCCGGCCCTGGGGAGATGGATTGCTGGCCTCACTGGCCAGCCAGCCTGCCTTGCCTGGAGAATTCCAGGCCCATGAGAGGCCCTGCCTCCAAGTGGGTGAGTAGCTTTCTTGAGGATGCCAAGGAAGGCTGTCCTCTGGCCTCGACCCGCACATGTACTAACAGCACCTCCATCTATCCACACATACATGCACCCATCCACGCATACAGACATAAACTACCCTTTCACTGGAGATTTCACTCAAGCACAGTTCTGACGTAAGCCCCATGAAGGTCTAGATCTCAATTTTCCAGAGATTGTACACATCTTAAATTCTACCTACTTCTCTCACTAGCCTGACTTGGATCTGTTTCCGCTTCAAGAGATCTGCGAACCTAACGTTGTGAATTTGACGTGTGAATCTTTGTGAATGATAATGAAAAACACATAGATTGGAAAAAAAATGCTTTGAGTTATAATTAAGGATGGATGCATATGTAATACTTAGGAGTGTTTAATGTTTGTCTAAAACATTTATTAATTCGTTTCATATTATTCTATTAGTTTTACTTATGTGCATGTGCGCATAGGTGTGTGTTGTGTTTGTGCAGGTGAATGCAGGTGCCCACATAGGACAGAGGTAACTGAATCCTCATGGAGCTGGAACTGCAGGTCGTGAGACACCTGATGAGGGTCCTGGGACTGTAACATAGGTCCTCTGGAAGGGCAGCCAGCGCTTTCAGACACTGAGCCATCTCTCCGGTGTCACATTTAATAATTTTTGACTCTGACATGGATATAGAGGAGAATCAGGCACACCAGACTTATGTCCTAACACTTGTCACCGGGGTTCTTTAGCATGCTGTCCATATTATTTCTATGTTTTTGTTTTTGTTTTTTTTTTTTTTTTGCTTTTGAGAGTTGGGTTACTTTGTGAATCTAAAGCAAAGTGGCAGCCTCCTCAGAGCCCCGCCCCCGCAGAGCCCCGCCCCCACAGAGCTGCTTCTGATCTAGCCCTATTGAAGATGCTTTGCTCCGTCTTTCCTGTGTTGCCATGATATGGGCCTGTCAATTCTAAAGCAACTATCTCAAAATGTTTTAATATCCTTAGGACTGCTGAGAGAGAAAGTAAATTTATTTGTAGACTGGGCCAAACTCTGCCCTTACTTCCATGCAAATCAAAGTGTCTGGAGGAATCGTTTAGGAGAGCCTGCAGGTTTGGGTATGATGTAGAGCTCAAAAGAGTTGTTGCCACCTCAAGCCTGTGGTGGCGCAGGCCTCCTGTAGAGCAGTGTTTGAATTCTTAGGTATTGGAGTACACAACAGTCTGGCTTTGTTTTTCTGAACGCCAACATGCGTTGGCGTTCAGAAAAGTGTCTTTTTACCAAAACAAGTGCTGTGATGGAGGACTAGACTGCAGAACAAACAAGCCTTGCCTATATGAATGACGGCCGTGCTCTCCTCTCGATGAGAATGAGGGGAGGGGTTGAGCTTTGACTTTGAACTTGGCTTTTGCTTTTCCAGGTTTTGTCACTTAGTAGAGATTAATATTACAGAGAAGACAGCAATGGAAAATAATTTTAAAGCATTATTGCTGATTACATATTTTAAGCATGTGTTTATTTTTGCATGGGTGTATGTGTGGGCACATGTGTGCCACGGCATGCATATGGAAGTCAGAGGCCAACTTGGGGGCCAGTCAGTTTTCTCATTTCACCACATGGGTTCCAGGGATCAAACTCAGGTTGCCAGGCCAGGTGGTAGCCGCTTTAACCTGCTCAGTCATCCCATAGGCCCTCAGTACTAATTTTATACCAGCTCCAGCTTCAAGAATCAAATATCTCATGGGAAATACACACACACACACACACACACACACACACACACACACACATACATACATACATACACATATACAGGTATTTATATGGTATGTGTATGTAAGTATGGATGTACGGATGGGTACATGGATGGATTGATTGATTGATTGAGACAGGCTCTGGGTATACTGGAACTCACTATGCAGACTAGGCTGGCCTCACATACACAGAGATCTGCCTGCCGTTGCCTCCCAAGTCCTGGGATTAAAGGGGCTGGAGAGATGGCTCGGTAGTTAAGAGTGCTGCACTTCCAAGGGACAAAGGTTCAGTTCCCAGCAGCCATGCACCCATGTCAGGTAGCTTGTAGCCCAGCTCTAGGGCATCTGCTGCCCTCTTCTGGCACGCACACTCATAGGCGCAAACGTGTGAATTGAAAAGCAAACCATTTTTTTTTTTTTTTAAACTTGGCAGGAAAAATTAAGTTTCACACAGTCTGTGGGATACAAACTGTGTTCGTATTTTCTGTCATCCTCATATAACGGGTGAAACTCCAGTCTTGGGGCACGTACAGTAGCACAAGCCAATAGAATTGGAGCTGTTTACAAGTCGGGAAGTGGTCTTTTAGAGCAGGCTGTCTCCCTAGACCAAAGCTTCAGTACGGATACTGCCACTGGTCTAACAGCGCGGGTTCCGTGTGTATTCTGAATCTTTACCAGCAGAGGTCACTGTGGACCTCATTACGCGCAAACACTCTCCTTTAGGGAAGAAGGCAATTTTCAAAAGTAAATAAATAAATCTCTCATTTCTACAACTTAAACACATTCTCTCATTTTTGATCTGCTGTCCTCCGGATGTCTTCCGGACACACAGAGATGAGCTTACCGCTAAACCGAAACCACAGGTAGAAATCAGTGTGAGCGAAGCTGCTGGTCTCATTCCAGTTAGTAATGAGAATGAATTCAAGGAACTCCTAGCTCTACCCTTTGCCTAGCGCACTAGCCAACCATATGCCCCTGACCCGTCTGCAAGGTAAGGATTGTATGGGTAAAATTTATGGGCATTATTGGTTCTTAATTCTCTATTTTTCCATCTCAGCAGGCATTTCTATTCTGAGGTCGTCAGTCTGCATAATCACAAGGTAACTCCCACTCCAATTAATATAAAATATATACATATACAGTATGTATATTACAGTGATCGTATCTATATCTATTTACAGTAAGTTGTCATAGAGTGCTTCCTGATGCTGTCTGCCTGGAAGAGGTGTTTCAGTGTCTGCCCGCACTCAGGGTCTTACACGCTTCTTCTGACCCCTTTGTGATGTTCAGCTATGTGCTCATCCTGATGTTGTGCTGTTAAGATTTAAACGTGCTTACCTTTTTTAGGGGCCGGCTTGGTAATGTTCAGCTTGCCAGCCTTCTTGAACAAGCCTCGGATGCCCCCCTTCCCCTCCTCATCCTCGTTGTCCTTGATTGCGGCCTCCAGAGCCAGTCTCTCCTGTTCCAGTTTCTCCAGTTCATCTGAAGAGAGTAGACACGGCCAGCAACTTCATTCAGAGGAACAAGGTTTCTAGGGACAATCTTCTAAACCAGCCTGGCATTTCATATAATTATGCAATAAGATGGTTATGCAATGGTATGGTTTTTTTGTTGTTCTGATCATTAAAAACTAATGATTTCAGTAAATTGTATTCAGGAAGTAGCAACAGCTACCTCAGGAAAACAGCTCCATGCATGAAGTCTTGGGGCTTTTATTTGTGAGGGCAAGAAAGGCTAGTTCTTCCTTGTACCTTTATCCCATCATCCAGAAAGCCTGGCCTAGTGAGACGCCAGCACTATTAAATCACTGACTTTTACGACCAAGTTACCAGGTAAGACTTTCAATGGGCAGAGGTATGCTGGGCACGTGCTGGGCAGGAACCTGCACATAGCAAGGCCTCTGAATGGAAACATGAAACCAAGAGCAAGAATTACAGGGAGATGTCCGGCCTTCCTGCAGCATACACGCGATTGCAGCACTTGGCAGGTGGAGACAGAAAGTCCAGGGGTTCAGGGCCTCCCTGGGCCACACAAGCGACTCTGTCTCAAAAGGCCAAAGGAGATGGAGGCCTATTGCACAAAGATAATCAGACCTTATAATCAACTTCTCTCATCTTTGAATACGAACTGCAGGGAACAAAATATCCAGCACTGATTATGTGTCTTAAGTGGAAACAAAATCAAAACCAAAATCAAAACCAAAACCAAAACTAAAACCAAAAAAAAACTCCCAAAGCCCTTTATGGCATGAGTGACCAAAGCCAAAGAATGAAAGCCGTGGTTTCTGGGGAAAATGCCAAAGTTCAGGTGGCTGAAAAGTCACGCTTGAGTCTAAACCAAGAGCCAAACTATGCAAAATTTCCTCCAGCAGGGTCAGAACCACTGTCCAAGCTGTTGCCTTTTAGCTTTTCCGGGTTCTGGCTGCATTGGAAAAGTTCCTAGCTGATCTCTCTCTCTCTCCCTCTCTCCTCCCCCTCCCTCTCACAATGTAGCATAATATATAATCCCTCCTTGACCTTAGCAAGTAAGAGTTTATAAGCCGTCACGTGACAGTGCTGTGCTAACAAGCCTGTTCTCGAACGTCCGTCAGACCCCCTCTCTCGTTGCCTGCAGAGAATCCAGCCTTGGGAGAGAAGCCCTGCTCCAGGGGAGAAAGCACAGAGTCAGTGATCATAAAACCCTGCTAGGGCTTCTGGAAATGTTGACCTCGGAACCCATTGTCTCAGCGATCTGTGAAGGGATGATTCCACGATAACTAAATCTGTCAGGACAGTCACACCCCTTGGATGCTGCTGTTAGCCAGCTATACAGAGCCACCTGGCCTCTCTCCAGGTTTTAGCAATTAATCTCTCACCAGTGGCATGAGATTTAGAGTCAAATCTCCCATGTGATCTCCCCAGAGTTTCAAGGGTTCTCATGATGAGCGGCCACAGGAAGGCTGGGAAACAAGGCTGGTGGTATTAGAGTTCAGGCAGGTGGCGCTTGCCCTGAAATTAAAAGGTGAGGGCAATCTACATTGCAGTGGGGGCCACAACCTGGTGGAGCTCAGCGGCTGGCTTTGTGTGACTTCAGCCATTCGCTCTCTCTGTCCTCAGACCTCCTGCGTAATGGGGAATCAGAACACTTTCCTTTCCCTACCCCGGGAGCTTCATAAAGAGAATAGGCAGCAGCGTGCCCTGGCGCTTCAGAGAAGAACAGAGCAATGATGCATTCACAAGGCAGGGTGTTTACGCTCCTTCTGGAGCCGTGTTCTCTCAGGCAAAGCAGACCAAGTATTTCGAGAAGGCAGGGAGTTGTTTTAACCACTCTCTGGGTAGCTGTGCTTCAGTCCTTTCCAAACAGTTCAGGGATGGTTACTGTTATTCTCTTCATTTTGTAGACAAAGAAACCGCAGGTCAGAAAGGTTAAATAACTTGTGTGACTGTCGCCGAGCAAGGCCAGGACCTTAAGTACAAAGAGGTGAGTTTGGCTGTCAGTCAGAGTGCTTCGCAGCACAAAGACCTTCTTGTGGCTCGTTACATTACAGTTGTTCCTATTAACTGTCAGGCTCTTCAATGGGGACAGGATGCCAGGCCAAGCCACATCCTCCAGTGATGGTTCTGGAACATGTCATTTTAGGGAGGGCTCTAAATATCTGGGTTGCTGAGGAGGCTGCCTCGGAGTCCCAGCTGGAACATTCTCTTCCAGGAGCTTAGCTGTGAATTTCTTGGAGGCAGCTATAGGACTTCACCGAGGAGGGGTTCCTCCCCTTTCTTTCTTTGACATCTTCCAGCACTCCCTGCTGTTAGCTACTCGTTAACAGTTAGCTATTAACTGCGGGACCCTTGTGCTCTGGTTGGGCAAAGATGGTTTAAATCCTCCTTTGAAAAGGAGTCTGCCGTCTGTGCACACCCCAAGTGACTCCCACAGTTTGTTCTAGGACAAGCAAACCCCAGAACCCCAAGCCCAGGAGACACAGCAAAGTCTGCTCCTGTGATTCAAATTCATTCTTTTTCCTTGGAGAGCAGACAGCCTGGAAAGGCTGTTCTCAAGGCTAAGGTCAACTTGCTTAGCCATCTTGGGTCTCAGGACCACACAGTGGAGCCGTCTCCATTGCACAGTGGAGCTTTCAAGTTTTCATTAGAGTTCTTTCTTCATTGTTTACTTTGTGGAAGATGGAAGATACCCCATCCCACCCCGTGCCACGCCTCACACCGCAGTGTGAAACAGCAGTGGCCATTTGATGATCTGGTTTTTGAATTCTATCTCGTGTACTGCATACCTCTGTTTGCACTGGAAATCAAGAGGAGAATGAGGAGCAGACTTTGCCAAAACATTTAAGAGGGATACTTGCCAACTGAGTTGCAAAAGTAACGGTCAGTTACAAAGGAGGAGGTGATTCAAGGGAGCCATGGGGGTGACATTAAAGAAGATCACTCATTCCATAGCTACTATGGAATCACTACTATTTCTGTTTGCTTGCTAGTTTTTGGACAGGGTCTTCGTCTTCTTTTGTAGCCTAGAAGTCTTCATATAGATGAGGCTGTCTTGAACCTCTGCCTCCTCACTCTAAGTGCTGGGATCATGGGTCTGTGCTCCTATGCTAAGCTACAGCCACACTTTGACTATTCAGGAATTACAGAGTCTTCACACATTCATGCTGGTTTTAGTTCTCCTTTTTGTTATAAAGGAAACTTGGACACATACAGTTCAGGTGATTTGTCCAAGGTCACGTAGTCAGTGCTGTGTCTTCGGCTTCTGCACCCAGTTCTAACATTAACCCTGGCCACCACTGTCTTTGAGTTTTTGGTAGGCTCAGCTAGCCTCCAGCTCACTGTGTAGCCTAGGCTGGCTTTCATTCAACTCCTGATCCTCTTACTTCGGCTTTGTTAGTGCTGGGATTCCAGGAACGTGCCACTGCATCCTATTGTTTATTCCTCTTCATCAGTGGTTCTCAACCTTCCTAACGCTGTGACCCTTCAATACAGTTACTTATGCCGGAGTGACCCCTAATCATGAAATTATTTTTATTGCTACTTCATAACTGTAATTTGGTACTGCTGGGACTCATAATGTAAAATATCTGTGTAGGCAACCTCTGTGAAAAGGTCGTTGGACCCCCAAAGGGGTTGTGAGCCACAGAGTGAGAACTTTTACTCTTCACTCTTTTTCAGTGACCCAATCATGATACCTGCCTGCCCTTCGCTTTTCTAGATTTTCGAGAGACTCCCAAGGCTGAAATGGTGGGAATAGACAACCTTTAGGTTGTCAGTTAAGAGCAGGTTTTGAATAGCTTTCTTCCTGCACACCCCAGAACAAATCTAGTGAGACCAGATACTCAAACTGCTTTGAACAGTGGTCACCGTGTTCCCAAGTGCTTCATAAACTGACTACCTGGTAACCGATCAGAGAGACTGTATTTTGAAATTTAATTCAACTGTCAAAATTGCCTCATGTGTCTAATGTGTCATTTTTTTAAAAAGATGTCATTTAGGGGCTTATAATTTACCATCTGCTTTGAGTCTTAAGGACGACAGAAGGAGGAGCAGAGAAAGCCAGAGGGTAGCCATATTGCCCTCCCATTTTACAGCCTCTTTTTTTTTTCTTCATTCATCATTAAATTATAACCCCTTCCTCGGTCAATCAACTCGAAGCCACAAATGCTCGTATGAATCAGCTGCTGAACCCCAGGTGAAGTCAAGCTGGATTGAAGGCAGGAAGCAGTCCTGCAGTCTTGCCTTCTAATCAAGCAATTATCTATTGCTCGGCCATCTGTCTCTACTTTGCTAAAGCCACTCAATCAGACACAGCAGTATCACTGTGCTCTGAGTGGGTCATAAATCGTGCAGTACTTATACCGGGTACTCAATTGCGAATCGCACTCTATCACTTTGTTTACTACCAGTGCAATCTGGATTCTTTGCTGCAATTGGCGAACTTGCTAAATACCTCTGGGATGCGAAAACTATGAAACGCCACATTTTTTTTTTTTTTATGTTGTCAGGCAATAAACTAATGTATTAGGAAGAAGTATTAGTCATCAGTATTGGGTGACTTGCTGCAGCGAACAAGTTACAATGCTATGAGCATCGATCTTATTTATACAAAAAGTTATTCTCATATGAGTCTGTGACACAGTACAGAGACGGCTGCCATTAGCTGGTAAATTACCTAGAAAGCTGATTTCTACTCACTGCTTTATTAACTGTAGTATGTGGGCTCTGAATTGCTAATGTTCCCCTTAAATTCTAGTCTGTGATGACACTGCGGTCCTCACGTTGGGAAAGCTATGATGATGATCATTAACACACTGTAATGCAATGCTGAAGATTTATCAGGCTCTTATTAAGCCCTGTATTACAGTATAACATAATGAACTGCCAGTTTGTTTCTTCTAATCTAAAATCTACTATGAAGCTTGTGCCGTAAATTACCAAAGCTTCATAACAAAGCATGGAGCTGTGGCATCAAGCTAATTTCTTTCATTATGCTCGTCTGATTTTTTTCACACGTTTCTCTGTGTATTCGTGTGACATTGCATTTCTGCTTACCTAGATAGTTGGTACTTATAATTATTTTATTAGCATCTAACTGTGTTTTCCCTTTCTTGGTTATGAAGCAGAGATATTTCAAACATCAAAGTTGATCTAAATAGTAGTTGTTCTTTGGAAAATTTAAAGGAGCTATAGTTCAGTGCCACAGTTCTTGGAGGAACACTATAGAATCTAGTAGTTGTCACACAGAAATAAACTGATGAAATGTTTTGGCGCCTGGAGAAGTAAGGGTGGATGTGATGTTTTTCATCTCATATATCAGCCTGAAGACCAACATAATACACAAAGCAAATGCATAATCTAAATCTAAATACAAATTGCATTTTTTCATAACAGCACCAAAGCCAAGAAAAAAAAAAAAAACCAAGTAGATAGGACACAGGACTTGGAGGATCTGAGTTGGATCTGATCAGGAAGATTTCTCCCTGAGGACTAGAGAGGACTAGAGGACTAGAGATTCCTCCCTGAGGACTAGCTCTCTTTTTCAGAGAGCTACTGTAGAAGCTTCCAGAGGAGGGAAGCAGTCAGCAGTATCACCCAGCTCTGATGCCCATGAACTGCAACAATGCCAGCATGGTAAGATGTTCCTAAAGATGCAATAATGCAAGGCACTTATGTCTTGGCAGTAACCTGTAGCCGTCTAATTGGACTTAAGACCCACTGAAGAAGAGGGAACTCATACCTGGTACTGGAGGCTTAGCCAACAGCTGCCCAGGACTAGTTAAGTCATGGCTCTTGGAGGAGAACCTACAACTGCCCCTTTACTGGAACAGCATAATTCTTAACTTCATTCACTGGGCGTATACTTACGTAGTCTTCATCTCTCATCAAAGAAACTTCTGTTTGTGAGGAGAATTACAGACGGTCACAGCCGATCAAAATGCAGATAACTGATCGTGAGGTGCCCAGCCCCAACGATGCTTCTACAACACAACTCCTGCATCCAAGGCTCAGGGAGCATCTCGGAAGAGGTGGCCTGATGGTTGTAAGAGCTAGAGGACCAGGGAGTCTGCTGTGGGAGCGTGTCTCCCGGAAATGACAGAGAAAGTTTCTCCCATGACACCTCAACCATACAGCTGCCTAAGCAAGATCCGAACAAGGGTTTCAACACTACAATTCTAGAGAAATCTCTTCTACTACGACTACCTGTATCATGTCAGTTACGTTACTGAGGTCTTTACCTCCATGCTGGTTTTGTGGTACTGCAATAAGCGAGGTCGTCGACTGTGCTCGGTTAGTCTACCTCTCTGGTTACCAAGGCCAAGGCCACCGTGCTAGCTACGGAACAGCCCAGGTGGGGCGCACACACCGTGGGCTGTGGTGGAATCTTTCTGTGCACACTGAGCGCTGCTCTGCCCTTACCACCCGGAACACTTCACCGTCTGCTGAGCGGGCAAGGGAAATACTTACCTTGAACCTGGAGAACGGAAGAAATGTCAAACCCTTGGCTGATCCTGACTATGACCACACCGATCTCAAAGTCAAAGGCATCACTGAAAGAGGAAGCAACATTTTCAGTGTTGCCAGCGTTTTCTTCAACGTTCACACTTGGGGTAAACATTAAACTCATCTCTTGGATTTTTGATGCCATGAGGCTATTAAAATTCACTTTAGAATGTAGCTAAGTGCTGATGTCTTTCGGGCGTTTGTTTTTTTCTTGCTCTGTGTCTTAAAAAAAATTCTGGGTGGAGGTAAGTAAGTGATTCACTCTGAAGCTGATTTGTTCAAATAGATCCACCAGCTAGGTATTTTGGTTAAGATCTCTCTACAGACCCTTAAATAATTAATCTGTTATTAAGTGATCAAAAAATCTGATATATTTAAAACAGAACATTTATAGATTGAAAAATCTTTTGATTATCAGCCACTGGGAAGCCATCTTCAGGGATGCCTGACACCAAGCTCATGGTTTAAAATGTCTCCAGTAGGAGGCAGAGGTAGGTGATTTCTGAGTTTGTAGCTAGCCTGGTCTACAGAGTAATTTCCAGGACAACCAGATGGCCTACGTAGCTGAAACCCTGTCAACCAACAAAAACGTTTCCAGGAACTTTTGTCGTGGACTCAGCACAGGCGCGTCAGAACAGCGCTTCCCTCTGGGAATCCTGTGTACTTGGCGTTGGCTCTGATGCCTTCTCAGCACCAGCCTAAGGAGATTAAAGGGCATACATAGAAAAGAAGGAAGAGCTGCTTGGCTTATCTCAGCATGTTTACATGTTGTAAATCTGAAAGCAAGCCTATTACTTAACTAAAAGTCTTAACTAAATGTTTCCCTCTGGAAGTTCCCATTCGCTGGTTGGCAGACTGAGGACCAGAAGTCCTATGGTCAGGCCAACCCTCCTTAGCATCACTGTAGTGTGATTGGTCAGGCCAACCCTCCTTAGCATCAATGTTGTCTGTGATTGGTCAGGCCACCCGGGCACAGCATCAATGTTGTCTGTGATTGGGCACCATAAGCAACAAGCTTCCAATAAGAATTAGACTTGAACTTTCAGGGGATGCTCTAAAAGAAGTTCACTGTAATAGAAGTATTCACTCAAAGTTCAAAACATAAAGTATCTTCACTTAACAAAATAGATGTCTTCTAACATAGATCTCTACATAAGCAAATCTATGTAAAGTTGATTATGAAAGACTAGACACTTGGTTTCACATAAAAGATGTTGATTCTCTCATAGGCAGATTGACGGCTTTAAAGAGCACCTTAATTCCTAAAACCTATAACTCCATTTCCTCACAAGGCAAAAGGCACTTTGCATATATGGTTAGGTCAAGAGCTTTGAGGTGAGGAGAGTATCCTGCAAAACCTGCCGGGGCCAGATAGAGTGGCAAGGGTGCTTGAGAATGAAGTTGAGAGACAGCAGAGGTTGGCATTGGTATAACGTGGCCACCCGCCGCGTCCACTCGTGGGCAGCTTCTAGGAGCAGGAATGGCAAGGTAGGACTTTGTGCTAGAGCCTTCCAGGCCAATTTAGTCTTATCCACTTAGATTCGGGTACAGTCGGATTTGTGTTACACTTCTAACTCAAGAAACTGTAAGACGATGAAACTTCATTGTTTCAAACAACATCAAAAACTAAGATAGATTCTAAGTAAAACCAACCATACTTAAGAATGGTACAGACATCTAAAACCTTTTATTGAAAGGAGTGTAGTGAAACATTATCCAGCTGTAACCAAAGCCCAGCGTTAACAACAGTGTATTTTACTCTAAGCAACAACAAACACCCGGAGAGGAAATGCAGGGCAGGTGTGTGGCTCCCTTCCACCTGCCTTCTCTTTGGTGGTAGACTTATTCATTTTTATACTAGTGTAATCTTGGGCCACCTTAGTCAATGTTGAATTTTACTACCAAGAAGATCAGTTGCTAATGTGTTGTAAAAGCCTGAAGCTTCCTCAGTTGGATGTAACTAGGCTTAATTGTTTCCATCCTTTGACTTGAGTGTTTGAGGTGGGGGAGGGGGAGCGAGGGGCGATCAAAGGAATGCTGCATGGAACACTAGACTGGGGGTGTGTGTGCACAGTTCTCAGATCTGCTTAGATTTCTTTCTCCACCTTGTTTGTTAGCAAAACAGCCAACCCAGGATTTTAAATGTTTTCAAAGAAAATTTCCTCCCCCTCTACCTGTCCCTTGCCTTTAATCTAATGAATGGACTTTTAGGTTAGAACCTTGAACATTTTTCTTTTCTTGACTCCAATATCACCCCGCCCCACCTCCTCTGAGACTATAACTCCTTCCACTTTTTATCACTGGTGTAAGTTTCCCCCCTACCTAAATTCTTTGGTAAAGAATTTAGAGCAGCAGGATAATGTGTTCTTCTCTGGCAACTGGATCTGACACAGAGGGCTTCGTGTGTGTAGGCCGCATGTTAGTGCGTCGTAAACAAAGGCTCACCCCCAAAGCCGTCACTTACTGGATGATTCCCACGTAGTTCTCAATCTCTGACAGGGGGGCTTTCCTCCAGTTTTTTTTATACCCAGTCACTAGGGTGTTTGGCTTCATCCTCCCCAAGCCTGAGGCCTAAACAGAGGATATAAACACATGAGCAATCCTTACCGTGCTGGTAAAACACTACTGCCAATGAAAAATGATGTCAGAGAGCACGGAAGTAATGTTCTGTAGATTCCGAAGATTAGATTACATCTTAATGCCTGTCCTTCATGCCCTTACCCAAGCATAAAATAGGAAGATCAGTTTTAAATCATCTCAGTCATAAATGGATTTTAGATGACAGGAATGTAGCTTTGCTAAATTAGCAGTCATTTGCATTACTTCTGACACACTCATTAAAATGGTTCAATAATTTAAAATCAAGTAAGGGTTGGCTTAACAGTCGGCGTGCATGTTATAACAGTGGTTCAGAACTCATTTCCACCTGTGAGGTCCAGAATGTCATCCAAAATAAAGTCTATGTTTTGGAGATGTCTGTACACAGGGACCAGTGAAATTTTCCTTATATGATTTGCTGAAGAATGACTCAGCTGCACTTCCCAAACAGAAGCTCATGCATGACAGTGTCCTCAGCTGTTATATTTCATATCAGAGGTTGCAGTCATCTTCAGATGACAAGATATGACTTCCAGTTAATGAAATTTAATGTGGCAATATTATCAAGCCTGTGTTAATTGCAAAGTCACTGGCAGTAGGAGCTTAGAATTACCTGGAGGAGACAAGATCTACAAGATATACAATTGTAACACAAGACACACAGAAGCAATTGTAACACTAGAAAAAAATGTAACAGAGTCTTGGGGAAGCACCAAGGGAGACTTGTGGTCTGTCTGAGGGCTCACAGCTTCCTATGGAGAGGTGACGTGTATTCTGAATCTTCACCTTTAATTGGACATTGACAAATAAAAATAAGGAGAGCTGAGCATGAAGAAAGGCCACCTGGGCCATGAAGACGCTAAAGCAATGAAAAACGCCAGCCACTCTAGAGGACACGGTCATGAGTAGGACACAGGCACAATCCAGGGCTGCTGACATGAGCTTGTCCGCATAGGCTTCACGGGAATCTGTGTGCTCGAATTTGTCAACATTTATTTGTATGTTTCTTTACTTTCGTTTTTTTCGTGACTGTTTTACTATTTAAAAAATTCTTAGACGAATGTATTCACGCCTATGTTGAATTCTGAGCATTTTCATCTCCCCAGTGCTCCGCTCTCTACCCCTTGCCTCCTGCGGAAGCTCTTCTCCTTAACATGCCTCCACCTGTTTCGATGGCCAACTACATGGCCCACCGAGTTTAACTGTGGTTGCTTGCATGAGCATGCATGCATGTGTGTGTGTGTGTGTGTGTGTGTATATATATATATACACACACACATATATACACACACATATATATGTGTATACACACCTATAAACACACACATATACATGAGAAGCTATTAACTGGAACATGGGCACTTATCAGAGGATACGCCACTGAAGAAAATGACCTCCCACACATTGCTCATGGTCCTTCTGTAAAGGGGAGGGCTTCAAGAACCTCTCCCCGATGGGTATAGGTCTGATTTGGTATAGCTGGTTGTGCGGGTAACCACAGTTGCAGTGAGGTCATGGGTGTGATGCCCATGTCATATCCAGAAAACACTGTTTTGTGCAGCCCCAAACCCCAGCCCCTGACTCTTACATTCCCCATCCCCTGCTTCCTTGGAAGGGTGATATTGATAACCCCTTAGGGCCGAGCACTCCATAGTCTTTATTCTCCATACTTTGACTAGTGGTGAGTCTCATCATTAAGTAACACCCATTGCAAAACGGAGCTTCTCTGATAAAGGCCGGGACCAGCACTAATTTGGGTGTATGAGCATCAGATCTACTTAGCAAAACAAGAAGAGCAGCCACAGGCTCTTGACCAGGTTTGTATTGAAAGGCACGGATTCCCTTCTGTAGAGTAGGCATCAAATCCAATGAGAAACTGGTTAGTCATCTCCATAACCCTCATGCCACTATTAAACAAGGGGGCATATCTTGTCAGGCAGGTATATTATTATAGAATTCCTACAAAGAAGCTGTGACTACAAAGGCCAGTCAACTGATTCAGTGATGTAGAGAGGCTGGAATTTGCGAGCTCTGAGCCAATTTATCATGGGCCTTTGTTAGCCACCCAAATAACCATGCCTTCCTCTGCATGTCTTCCAACATTTTTGTGGCCACTGCGTTAGTATTTTGAAATACACAAATGCTGTATTCGGAGAGGCTCTTGTTTTGTTTCCTATTTTAAATCACAAAGGTGAGACCTGAGGAGCAAGTTTCTGCGATCATCAGAGAAGAAGAGGGAAGGACAAAGGAACGAACAAGGGAGAGATAGAAAACTGCACTCTCCAGCACATAGCCGTAGAGATGATCACATTTATTTAATGTTCCGGAAATAATTTCTGAGGCTGGGGAGGTTTTTCCGCCCTGGTCCACATGCATTTATTAGTGTAGTCTAGCAGCTACCTACTCATCATTTGCAAAGAGAAAAAGAGAGGTAGACCACAGCTACCTGCTGTACAAGACACAAAGAATTTGAAGTTTAAACAGGATCCTCAAAGTCCTCAACCACCCGAACAAATCTGCACTTCAATGCATGTGGGGACAGAATGATGCCTGCTGGTAGCCAAAGGCAAACTCATTCTTCATTTCCAGCGGATCATTCCCAGTTCACTGTACTAAAACATTGGCCTTTAAGCTCGCCTAGCTTGAGGTTCCCTGCCCACCTGTCGTGATCTCTTTCGCTTCCTTGTGAGTGGGCTAACCCTAGTCACGGGTTTTAGAAGCTTCATCTGCTGGGATGCTGTCTTCGTCCTCCGTGCTCACTCCCTCAATGCCTGCCTTACCTGAAGGAGACTCCGGACACCATCCCTGAAGCAGTCGGCTGCCACCGCAGCATAAAAAGCCTTGATTTTGTTCTTTATAAGCCAGGCCTGTTTTTTAGCCATGCCGCTGTTCATCTCCTTAACACACAGCTTGCGGGGTCCCTGTAGGACACAGTGAAGTATTGGTTAGAAGCCCTGGATTTATACATCACAGTGTTGCTACCAGGTGACGAAACAAGCCAATAAAGGCCCATTAGAGTAAGAGATGGGATCGAGAGAAAAACACCTTCTTAGTGAGGCTTGCCCAGAACTTTGTTTTTGGAAAAGACCTGTGTTACCCACATGATTCATTTTCAACCCCAAATGTCCAGGCTTATTAACACCTGCTTAAATAACTGCCCTGTGAAGAATGAGAAGAAAAACTAAGGGCATGGTGGCACACAGGGAAAACACTCAGAATGTGATTGAAGAGGCTCAGGATGAATTCACAATCAACCTGTGATTCAACAGTGAGTGCCATCTTTATGAACCTCAAAGAAATCTCAGCCAGATCCCAATTTCAAGAAACGGACAGAGCTCTTGGGAGCCAGCGAACACTGAACTGCACATTCTGCTACAAGCCACACATCCTGACAATTCTGTCAGGGCCTAAGTCCTGTTTCTTGGTGTGCTCAGGATTCCCTTACGCCACTCTTTTCCTTGAGTCGGTATGTTTATAGCTGGGCAAGTTAACAATCCCACCTCGTTAGGTAAATTTGGTGGGGACAAAAGACACATCACATGTCTATGATGTAAGGGGAGTGAGAGAAGCTGAGAGGCAGGCATGGTGGCGATAAAGCATCTTGTAATCTTGAAGTTTAATTCTGGAGACCCAATATTCACCATTCTTCTTCCATAAAGGTCCAAGTTTTCTTATGTTGTAAGTCAGTCCAAAAGGTATTTCTGGCTACTGCTTTTGCATTTGGCAGGGCGGATGATCCAACTATTTCCTTCAGTTCTACAGAGGGATTTGTATTTTGTTTGGATGTCTTAGATTGCATACAAGTCCCTTGAGATCTTGCTAACACATAGTGGGCAACCCCTAGAGGGTGTGGAGTAGGCCTTAACTGTCAGGATTTGTAGTAAGCGTCCAGGTGACATAGACACTACTGGTTCCTCAGAGCGTAGTTCAAACAGCAGTCTTAGACTTATTTGGGATACGAGAAAATAAGTTCAAGCTTTGAAGTCAGATAGAACGTGTCTAGACCTACACTTGGCTGCTGTGGAGATCATGTGCTATCTCTGAGCTTTGAAATTTCATTCTGGACATGGAGATAAACACCCCTTTTCTGCATGGTTGTTTTCAGCAGCAGTAGTAAGTGAAGTATCCAGTACTGAGCTTGAAAAGACTCGGTGCCTATGTCCAGCTGACGGCTATCATTGTAAGGGGTTGCTCATGATCTCACCGAGACTCCAGGCTTAATTCTACATTGTGTTTGCTCTGCTGCAGCTGGAATGAAACTGGACTGGAGTCAGGGCGCTGGGTTTAAATGTGTTTCTTGACTGACAAACTGGCACAATGGGCTTCTTCTCTTGAGGACAAATATATTTATACAAATAAGGTAATCGCTGGGTCGTCGCTGCCCGGGACAACAGCTCCTATCCAAATGCTGCTATTGAGCATGAGATATGCTCAATAGAATGAGATAGCCTTGAAATGAGATAGCCTTGGTACACAAATATACGTAAAATAAACATCATTAGCTTTTATGCTGATTGCGCATTGAAACAACATTTTGGACATATTTGAGTTAAACAACAGAAATTATTAAAAATAACTTGATATATCATTTTGCCTCTCCAGTTGGCAACTAGAAAAATTTGAATTATACATGTAGCACATGTTATATTTCTATCATACTGCACTGGCTGGGCTTTGGGGACCCTTCCATTTTAGTACTCTGTTTAAATTGGATCAAGTTCTTTGTAAAGTTAGTTGTTGGCCAGCACATGTTCTAGAAGTTACCAATATTCCAAAAGCAATTTGATTGTCTTATATTAGTCAAAAGGCATTGAAGAATGAAGACAGAGCAGGCAGAAACATCAGGAGGATGGTGACTGAGCTGGAAGACCTGGACCAGAGCAGGAGATGATGTTGTGGGGAAGTTCCATTCAGGCCTGAGAATGACAGGTCACTGTAAGCTACCAGTCCTTCCTTGGACTTTCTAGCCTTCATCTACCACAAGAAGAGGAAGAAATATTGTGTTGAGGGTCATCTAACGTTGACAACAACCATCAGACAGAAGGATAACCAACTTCTACGAAAGATGTTAGACCATCAGAGTGCTGAGCTTCTCTGCAATGACTGTAAGCCCCTGGGGGAGAATGGAACTTATTTAAAGAAATACAGTTTAACATATGTCTGTTAGTCTTTCAAAAGTTTGTACTAAACATTAATTGTGTCAGAGAGAATTATTTTAATGACTGAATTTGCCATACTGACAACTCGTAAAAACATTTCCTGCAGAATCTCTTTTTGCAAAAAGGGATTATGATGTCTTTGTAGCATACTGATTAGTATGAAGCTACGCTGTGATGCAAATGTAAGAAGGTTAAAAACTGACAGGAGGAGAAATATCCTGGAACATAATTAACCAATATTTAAATATGTCACAAAATGGATTTTACCATCTAATTAATATATCACAGAGATGAACGTCAGTCAGCATTCCTGAACATGAGCCCATCAATTAATCTCCAATCTGAACAATGAAACTTTAAAAAGTTTGTATATTTACATGTCAACATGTGGAGAATGCTCATGATGCTGCTTTCATTGCTTCTCTGGTTAGAACTAGCAGAAGGCTAATTTCTCCCTTTTTCTGATTTGGCCCGTGAGCCATCTCACCCGGAATCCTAGTGCCCATTCATAGGTCATTTCATTCTTCCTCCATTTGGTCATGTTATTATTTTATTAACTTTTTTTTTCTGACACAGGATTTCTCTGTGTAACTGCCTTGGCTATCCTGGAACTTGCTCCGTAGACCAGATTGGTCTCAAACTCACAGAGATCTGCCTGCCTTTGCCTCCCAAGTTTTGGGATCAAAAGCACGTGCCACCACGGCCTGGCTTTATGAACATCTCAATAGAGACCCACTGACATAAAGAGCTTTTGTTCCTCATCTGCAGTTTTGAGGGTGAATAAGGAAAAGACAAGAGGAGAGAGGGAGAGATGAGGGAGCTTCAGTGGCTGAAAATGAATTATGTGTATAGGGGTCTAGCAAATATATTGTCTGGACTTGAGGGTATCTTTGTTTTATTGAAGACCACATATTTCAGGAATAGAAAATAGCAACTATCATACTCCAACAATAACGAAATCAACGACATTACCAACAGTAACAAAGTTAACTCAGCACTCACTGTTAGACATAAAACAGTGCTTGAAAGCAGGTACAATTCTCACAATGACTTTAAACAGGTGCTTTTTTATTCAAAGAGAATAAGCTATGTGCATAAGGAAATCAAACTTAGTAAATAGTGTCAAAATAGTGACTCTGAACTTAACTGTTAGGGTCAAAGGTTCAGGAAACACTAGCTTCCTAGAGTTGGAAACACACTTGTAGTTCCCTTCCCATCACCACTGTTTCCACAAGGCTGGCTTAACCATCATCGGTATACTTTGGGGAAAATTTTTCTAGTGGTATGCTCCATTCCTTTCCATCTGTTTCCTTGGAAGGATGATTGACAACTGAGCCTTGAATCTAAAAATGCTGACAGCATCCACAGCCTCAGGAGTTCACAGGAAGTAACTAACCAGGAAGGCTTTAATTGATGCAGTAACCGTTTTCTGTCCTCAAGGGAACTTGAACACTGGGGAATAGGACTCATGGGCCTTTCATGGAGACATCAGCTTAGGAATGTGAAGATCACAACTACAGAACACACACTTAGGCACTTGCTTCGCATGAAAGGGCACTCTAGGACCGTAGTCCTTTTTTTTTTAGCTAAAGGATCAAAGGGTTAATTAAAAGCAGGGTTTCTTATCTCTCTGGAAGACCTTTTCTCCCTTGCCAATATATGACTGTTTGTATTTCTTGTTCATTTCTCCAGTCCTGAAGATATTTTATTTCTTGCTAAACCAATTTCTCTCTAAATTGCTAGAGAAGAAAAACACCCAAAACTGCTTATTCCATCAAAACCGGTTTCTATATTATATTGGCCAAAATGAAATCCGCTAATCCAGGGCACTAAACTTGATCATAAGAGAGAAAGGCTCTTGATAAGTTTTTAACAAATCCTCTGGAGTCACAGTCGGCCATAACTTCACCTGTCAATCTTCCCCACTCAGTAACTCTTCCCCCCCCCCCCACTGGATGATTGTATTTAGTTAGTTATACTGTTTGAGTTACTCTCATCTAAGTACAGAAAGGAAAGAGAACATGGCCAACTTTCACAGCGTTTAGAATATTGCTAAGTTTAAAAAGACGTTTGAGTGTTTCTCAGGGTAGCGTATAGTGAGTTAGTCTACCACACCACTGCAGACTTGACTGGCCCCTGGCTACAACTTCCTCACACCCATTCCTTGGCAGATATTGGAAGTGTACATGGTGTTCTTTGATTGTGACAGTTCTCCCAGGAATCAGGCTGCCTAGGCTTTCTCCTTATGGCTTAACAAAAGGCATCTTGGGAGGCCTCCTTTCACGTTCCAATCACCATTTTCTTGTCAGAATAGCCCAGAACATGATTTAATTTTCCTGTCTCACTTTCCCAGTTAGTAAAATGAAAACACGAGTTTCTTTGTTTTCTGCCTCTTATATGCTTGCGGGTTAAGTATGAAACTGGGAAAATGCTCTGAAGAACAGGTAAGGTTTTAGTAATATAAACTGAGAGACACACACAGAGAGCGAAGAGACAGAGTGAGAGGAGAGAGAAAGAAAGATAAAAACGAAAACACATGCAGAGGCAGGCTAGTATGGAGGATTTAGACATTTTTATTCTAATTTCAATGCTCTCTCCCCATTTGTAGAACTGATAAATAATTATGGTTGACTTCGTAGCATCTACCTTGAATACCTCCTCAGCTGTTAGTCCCACACATGTCCCTGTAACAGAAGGGAGTTAGCTCGACTCTGACTGTTTGTCAAAGGCACAGAAAACTTAGCTTAATTCCCCGGGTATCTGTAGTGTCATCATAATTATCTAAACATTTCATCTAAATTTAACATGTGATCATTTTAGTTTCTTCTCCTTGGCTTCCGCAGACTGGCTAGTGCTCTGGTCCCACCCTTTCCACTGTTTTAAGTTAGACAGTTATCAGCCCAGATGCTTTCATTTTATTTCTGAGCCAGTTTAGTTCTTGACTCAAAGGACATCATTTATCACTTTTAGTTGGTCTCCTAAAATTTCAGAAATACATTTCATCTATCCATTTAAATTCATGACCATGTTTTGTTTGTTTGTTTTGCCAGTCCCACATCGAGGAAGAGAACTCTTGTCCAAGCTGTTTTGTCCCTTTCCTTTACTGCAGGCCTCTTCTGTGCCACCTAAAATACCCAACATGAGCAGAGAGGGAACAGCATGTCTTTTGGATGAAGGGACTCTTACCACGAAGACTTCACAGCAGATGCAGAGGCCACTGTTCTTCGTAAAGGCGTGGGTTATATCCAAGAGAGCAGGTCTTGTCATGGGCCCCCCTGTTAACACAATGCACTGGGGTCTAAAAGTAAAGAGATTGGCCAGTGTAAGACGCATGCGAGCCCAGAACCCCTCAAAGAAAATAAGAGGTATAGAAAACTTGATAAAGTGGGACACCTTTTCCTTAATTCTTTCTTGGATTTTTTCCACCAGAATTCTTGAATTATCTTGACTCTACATCTTGTCATCTTAGTGTTTTCCATTTAACCAATCACACAGTAAAAGCATGAAGTAGGGAAAGGGTAGCCTTGGGTTCCCTTGTCTTTCTTCTTTGGGCACTGTGTCACCCCAAATCTCCACATGACCTGTCCCTCTCTCGTATTTTCATTTTTCTTCTGGCTGGCCTATGTTGTGAGGCACCACTCAAAATAATATGTAACTGATGAAGATCTACGACTACTACTTCTCCTCAGGGAATTCATTAAATCACAAAGCCTCAGAGTTAATGGAGATGGAGATAAAAAAAAAAAAAAAAAAGCAATGATTATGATGCACAAGGACCTGGGGGAATCTGGCTCTGAAGTCACATCCTTCAGGCCTCTGTGTCTCCAGGCGTGGAAAATGACACAGCAGTTTGAGAAGCTGTGGCTCCAGGTGGGCAGAGCTCAGAACAGAAGGAAAATGCATTCATTTATATTCTCGGCAACAGCGTGAACTATAGCCAAGAGAGCAGGCCTTCTGCTGTTGAGGAATGCATGTTTGGAATGTGCCCACAAAGCTTGCAGCTACTCCGATGTATTGGACTCCTCCAGAAAAAAAGGCCACTTGTAATGTGGAACATCAGGGGGCCACAAAAAGCCAACTTTACCTGAAATTTTTCACGTGGTCTTCCACTGTGGTTAATTCCAGAGCGTTGTCTAAAGCACTCACGTAGGAGAGAGCCTGTGTGGAGGAACCCCAGTTCACGTCTGCGGACAAAGGAGGAAATTGGTACCCCTCCAAATGGAACTTTTCTCTGCATGCTTTGAATCATTTTTAAGAAGCCATTCCCTCCTGCAATTTTTCTTGCTTATGCAAGCAGTGATGAGAGTCCAAGGTAGAGAAAAGACAATGTAGTGTTTCCCAGAAAGAGTGTTCTACCCTCCTGCGAGCACCCATGTGAATCCTTAGGAATGAGATTTCCCTCCAGCCAGGGGTCATAATGTAAATCTGCAGCCCCACAAAGACTGGTTAGCGAGAAAGGCCGTGTGATAATAGCCAGACAGGAAGAATGTTCAAGGCCTTCACAAGTTCTGAAATTCGAAACAGAAGAGGAATTTCTGTGTGCAGAAGTAGTGTGCATACAGAAATCTCTTTCTATTTTGAGTGGTAGAGCTGACCAGCATGGGGATTTTTACTTGTGGGGGTCATGGAGAGAGTCTAGAGTCTAATAAGTGTCTCACTCTGGCTGGCTTCAAAAGTGCTGAGTTTAAATATTCCATGGACTCTTTACATTTTATGGTAAGAATTCCTAGAGATGAACGGGCAGACCCACCTCAGCTCTTGCTCCGGAGGGCAAGGACAGTCGGGTTTTTTTTGAGCATGGAACAGAGCGATTTGAAGTATTGCTTATGTGCTAGACAAGCATGCCTTACGACATTCATTCATTCATTTTAATATTATTGTGCCCGTATCTGGGGGGGTACGTGCACTCACAGCACATGCATGAGGGGGGCAGGGTCAGAGGACAAGTTCTAAGAGTGGGTGTCTCTTTCTACTGCAGGCTCTAATGATTGAACTCAAGTCCCCAAGCTTATACGGGCAAACATTTCACCTGTGAAACTGAACTGCTGGCCTGACATCCATTGTTTTAGGGCTAAGACTTCTATCAGTCAATTCAATATTTATATGTAAAAGAATGAACCCTTAGCCATACCTTACACCATGTACCAAAATCAATTGCAGTAGATAATAGACTTTAATCAATTACCAAAGTACCAGAAGTTCTAAGTGCTTGTGGCCTTGGGTTGAGGAAAGATGTCTCCTAGCTCACACACAAATTGCAGATGATAAAAGATAAAAAAAAAGATTAATTAGTTTAGAGAAAAATTAAGAACTTGTATTAATAACAGTGAATCATCAGGGAAATGAAAATTGAAGGCACAGGCCTGAAAAAATAGAAAGTACATACGGCAAGAGGAACCAGAACACTCAAGAAAGCCTCACAGATGAGTTAAAAAAAATGGAAAAAAATAGAAATATGTTTTAAGTAGCTGTTTAACAAGATATATGAATTGCAAGTAGGATTATCAGTGCCCTTAGTCACTGGGAAAACACGAATTGAACAACAGTGGCTAAGACTATACCTCTCTTACAAAGACTTTAAAAACCAATTGACAATACTACAAGCTGACCAGAGTGTGGAGTGACTAAGATACCTTTTTAAACTGATATTTGGAATGAAAAATAATGCTGCTACTCTGGTAGACAGTCTGGCAGTAAAATCACATACAATGTGTATAAGCAATCTTACTCCTAGGCATCTACTCAACAGAAATGAAAAAAACAGATACATTTAAATTATTTATATATATATATATATATGTAAATATACATGTATGCACATATATTGTATACGGAGTATATTATATTAAATAGAATATATATATATATATATATATATATATATATATATATACCAAATTGAAAACAACCCAGATGTCCATCAACTGTCAATTAACAACAGAAACATAGTGTGGTATGTTCATATATAGAACACTACTCGTCAATATCAAAGGACAAATTGCTTATAAATATGCTACAGTATGGACACATCTAAAAGTCCATGCTAACTCAAAGACTTCCATAAAGACTATATACCATGATTCTGTTTATATGATGTTCTGGGAAAGATAAAGCTTCCAAAAGATAAAGATTGAAAAATTAGAAAAGTGGTTGATAGGGGCTAAGTTCTTAAAGGGCCTGAATACACGGTGTCTAAGGAGATGCTGAGAGAGATCCCACACCTTTATTGTGATGGTTACAGGACCACATAAATTTGTGAAAACTTAGGACTGTATATCAAAAGGGGTTGGAGTCTTCCCAGCTGTAAATTGTACCTGTTGTTAACAATGAAAAACAACAACAACATTCTTCTAAAGTGGTAGCTCCTATCGCTGCCTGGCAGGCAGAATAATGTAAGGGACACAAGGTGGCCCTAGGCCTCTTGCTGCTGAATTCTGGCCCCTGGATGTTTTTAACTGTAGTCCCTTTCCTCCTGGGTTCTGAAGGTGCCAGCTGAAGTTAAGACCTCAGTGCCCACAGTACCTGGATTCTTTCCTACAACAGTTGCCTTGCTTTTTGGTGGGTTGGCTCCCCTTCCAGCACACCCTTTCTTTTTAGTCTTCATGACAAAGGCCATAAGGCTTCCCCAGTGCTCCACACCCTTGCGGGCATCTTCAGTTCACTCCCGTCCTTCTCCCCAGAACCTCATTTGCTGGCCCTGGCATTACCCACCTCCATGTGGCTTGATGTTGTTTCACAACTTGCTTTGTTCATTTGGTAAATATTTACTAAACTCATGCAGAGTAGCTGGTTCTGTGAACACCAGCTATGAACCAAGAAAGAATTCTGAACAACTCCATGGTTGCTCACGCTTCCCCCTTTTCTTAGCAATCTGTTTATGCTGCTCTTGTGATACTATGTTGTATTATAGTTACCTCCTGAGCTGTGAGTCTGAGAACTCCTTGAGGACATGGGCCCTGTCTCATTAGCACATTAGACAATGGTGCTAGAAGGGAAGGCTTGGGAGGTTTGGGTTCAGCTTTATTACAATAAAAAAAAAATTCTCATTTTGGCAATTGATCAACTTTTTCAACTCCAACTTCATCTCTCAAACTAGCCTCATATCATCAAATGTGCAGCATCACTGTGAGGATTAAATGGGCACATGTCATGCATTTAGCCTTGGGATGAACCACCTTGCACATGCTCCATGCGAGCACACGGAAGCCACATGATAAACATTCAACGGATGGATAGAGAGAGCCACGAAAGTCCATCCGAGGTGGCCTTTCCCCTCTCACCTGGCTTCTTCTTCTTCTTCTTCTTCTTCTTCTTCTTCTTCTTCTTCTTCTTTAGTGGTTTATTTTATGTGCATTAATGTGAGTGTGTGAGGTTCCTTGGTATTGGTGTTACAGACAGTTTTGAGCTGACATGTAGATGCTGGGAATTGAACCCGGGCTCCCTGGGAGGAGCAGACGGTGCCCCTAACCACTGAGCCACCTCTCCAGCTTACCTGGCTTCTTATAGGTCACATAGATATAGAGGAATAACTCGATGACGTAGGTGATGACAGCTGCCCACCAGTTGATGACGAACATGACTGCACAGCACAGAACCGCTCCCAAAAGAGAGACCCACATGTTGTAAATCCCGTACGCTGGCCTCCATCCTGGGAGAAAAAAATAACATGGAAGAAAATTGGCATACACCAGCGCTGCTGTACTACTCTGTATTATAGGAGGGCAGATAACGTGTCTTCTTTTGGCATAAAAGTGTATGCCAAAAGTCCTAGCTCATAACTGTTTTCCTATGAACATCTTGTCCTTGCTCTACAAGTGGTGTTTGAACCAAAGATGATGCTGGAAAGTGTGGGAAACAGAAAGCACATGAAAAGCAGATGGCCACAGACCCCTCTGTGCTTCCTGTGCGTCCTGATTGTCCTTCCAAACTACCAAACCTCAAACACCTAAAATCCACCCATTGGTAATTGAAAGGAAGCTGTTAGGTTGAAAACAGTGGCGTCCTGGCAACAGGTGGGCGGAAGAACTTTCTGTCTTCCAAGAGCTGGTTCTGGCAGTCGGCTTTTGCTCCATTTGCAGAACAGCGGAGAAGCCCGCCTCACACTCTTCCTAAGAAGGCAGCGCTTGCCCCTTCAGAAGCAATACTCATATGGAAGAGGAGAAAAATTTCAACCTGTGACCCTTAAACCCAACACATTAACACCCATAGCGTTATATTTTATAAACCATTTGACACAGTTCCTACACAGAGCGCCTTCTAGGCTTTATTAGATTTCGGAAATAAGAGAGACCATGGAACAGTTCAGTAGGATAGGAAACCTGATTTGGAGGACCAACGGGTTAAGGCAGCTTTAAATCTGGAGTATGAAACCCAACGGAACTCTGTCTAGAGAAGCAGTTTCCTCGGTGACCACAAGATGGAAACAGCACTCCAAGAACAGCATTAGAAAAAGTCCCCAACTGTTTTTAGTCTTTTTAGTCCTGCTTCCCTTTCCTTTAAGAGCCAGAGGAAGGAGGGTCAGGTGGGTGTGGGGAGAGGGTGAGGTAGATTTTGAGAATCATTTCTGGGGTTTGTGTGTCTACCTGAGTCTTCTTGTATACATTTTTAATATTTTCTTTCTTTCTTCTCTCTTTTCTATCACTTCCTTTCATACTTCTGATAATTATTGCAACTGTCTTGTTTGTTTGTTTGTTTGTTTTGTTTTTCTTTTATAACAAAATATGGCTTGGGATTATAGATTCCTGTTGAAAGACAAACCACACTAAAAATCTTGGGTTTTTTTTGTTTGTTTGTGTTTTGTTTTGTTTTGTTTTGTTTATAACCCAGTAGCCTTGTATGGGCACAGTTTCCTCAGCCTCCCTTTCTATAGAGGGTGCATCCTTGTGTAGATACAGGCTCCCCAGCTTCCTTTGCTGCCAGTAAGGCTGGGTTGGTGGCAAATTGTAAAAGAGTTAGTATCTTGGGAGAAAGTCCTCGAGGTCAAGAACTTTCTGAGAGTCACATGATCTTCGTTCGGATGACTTTCTGGAGGGGTCAGAAAGATGGCGGAAACAAAGAAGAGATGAAGGGTGATGAGGCAGAGGAAGGCTCTTGAGTGTGGAATTTTGAACCATTTAAGACCACAGCCCGATTGAGCACCAGTGGCCCTGGGGTCCGCACAGCAGTGGATCCACAGTGCCCGCACTCAGCGGGTGATTATGGGAACTGCTCATCCTTCTCTTTTGCACCATGGGCAGGAAACAAATTGATAGTGAGGAGGTCTCAAACATATACATTTATTCCACTCCTGTGGTCACTTTTACCCTGGAAATAAATAGTGGTGTTTTTCTACTGCTGAAATAAATATGGTTTCTCTTGCAATGAATAATTTATTGCCACAGGAGAAAATTGACTTTACGGTTGGTCAAAAAAGGCCATTGCTCATATGATTCTTTTTCTATTTTGGAAGTCATCCCCCAACTCACCAAAATAAAGTGGATTATGCTGCCTACAAAGATATAAGAAAACATAAAAACACAGACTGAACACTTTTCACAGACTTATTTCATCTTATTGAGACAAACTGACTGTTTGCTTAGGCTTATTTTTTCATTTTGGCTTACCTGGAGATTTGGCATATGAGGCATGGAAGCAGGAGAAATTAATAAGTGCATATGAGGCCAGGAAGAAGTTGGAGATGATGGGTGCGATGACATTTAGATCCGCTGCAAGAGAAGCAGAATAATGTGTGTACATCTGTGCAGAGTGAGTGCTGAAGAGCCGCTAAGGCCTCAAGCTCAACTTTTTTGGGAAATTGAAAACATAGCCAGCGTCTCTCAAAGTTAGAAGGGTTTTCTTTGTTTTGTTTTGTCGTTTGAGGCTATATGCACACTTGCAGCCAAGGTTTTCATGGGGTCAGTCAGATTCAAGAAAACCTGCCTATCAGAAAATAGATAGTCCAGATATCTGTCTATACCAGAGCCGAGCACTTAATGAACTCCCCGATAGCAATGTCAAATGCACCAAATCCTGTATTCTTTGTCTGTTGTGTAAACAGTCAGAGGCTCTGCAGGACGGAAATCCATGTGGCTCCCAGTGATGTTAAAGGAGATAATTTAATGTATACAGTTTTTAAAAAAGTTGATTGTGAGGTCATTTAAATGCAGAAGAAGGGGGCTTAACAGGTAAAGGCGTACAAAGTCAAATCCGATCCCCTCGTTGGAGCCCAAGGACCGACAGGGAAGGAGAGAACTAACTCCCACAAGTTGTCTTCTGACCCAGGCCTGAGCGTGATCGTGTTCAAACACACACACACACACACACATCCATCACATGTTGCACCCATGTGCCCAGACATGTAATAAAACATTTCAGTGCAGCAGAGGGCAACAATCTGAAGTCATTGTATTACAGTGCTGGAATCTTTCTACTGTACATATACAAACCATCTCTTACTTAATTCCTTAAAAAATCTAACAAATTTAATGGGAGTTATATGTAGGCCCTCTCCTACTTCATAGACTTTGTATAAGGACAAATAAGTTATTTGCTCCTAGAGTTTTACATGCAAACAAGAACTTTCATTTTTGGTCTTAAGGGAGAGCTAGAAGTGTGCAGCCGATGAATATGCCTTTCCAAGACCATGTGGATACTTCTAGATTGCTTGGGAAAGAAAAGTTATAGTCCAGCTAAGTGGAGCGCAAAAAACTGAGTCTAGGAGGGATTTGAGGAGCTTGTAAAATGCAGATTCCAAATCCTCTGTGAGTCTAACTCAGTAGTCCTGGATGTGGCTTTTCAAAATCTGGACTTTCAGAGACTTTCTAGTGATTCTGAGTGGTTGGTCAAGGAGCCACATTTGAAGAAACACTGTACACAATTCTGTTTGCCAGTTTAGAGCTATCAGGGTAGGGCACAGAGTGGAGGGGATGGGGAAGCAGGGAGGGGGAAAGAGAAAGGAAAAGGGAGAGGGAGAAGGGGCAGGGGAAGGGGAGAAGGGAAGAGGAGGGGAGAGGAGGAAGGGAGGGGGAAGGAGAGGGTAGAGGGAAGGGGGAGAAGGGAGAGAGAAGGGGAGAGGGAAAGGAAGGAAAAGGAAAGGGGAGGGGAGAGGAGGAAGGGAAGGGAAAGGAAAGGGGAAAAGGGAGGGAAGAAAGGGAGAGGAGGGGAGAGGGGGAAAGGAGAGGGCAGAGTGCGTCCTGCCGTGGTTAGAACATAATGAGTTGGATGAAGGGCTCAGTTGTATTTGGCTGGGTGGGGTATTCAGGTTCAAAGAACAGACAAAGGCTAGATCCTTCCTCCCTTCCTCAGAAGGGTTTCTCTTCACATAAGGGTTTCTCACTTGCCTCTTAGACAAACACTGATGTTCCCAGACGAAGTCTTAAACATAAACCCACTAATTTCTCAAACTAAGAGCAAAAGCCTGAGTAATAGGGAGAATGTTTGGCTTTCAATAGAACAAGAAAACTCCGTACCGATAAGAATGAATGCCAGGGCTATCACAAAAGTGAGAAAGTAGCCTCTCAGGGGCTCGTTGTTTTTCCCATAGCCCTTTGCGAAGAACTTCAGTCCTTTGAAGATGTTGTCCTTGCACAGAGCCTAATGGGAAAAAGGAGAAGACATTTGTCATTTATATCTATGTGCGGTCATTTTCTCGAGGTGATTCAGAAAAGAAGATTTGGGAAAGATTAAGCGATGCACCGTACGAGGCACAAGTTAACGCTGCGGCTCATCATTCTTTGTGTTATCAGAGCCCATCTTGACTCTGTGGCGGACACCCAGCACTTGAGCCAGACGCAAACATTAAAGGTTACAGAAGATGATGGAAAGCGCTTGCTGGTGGGAGCCGCTATGTCAGCTTGTTCTTCATGCAGCTGGAGACAGCACAGGCTTTTGTGGCTGTATTACCTGGAATACTTTGGGCGCACTGACGAGGGAGGCCAGGGCCGAAGACAGTGTTGCGGAAAAGATTCCTGCGGTGATGAGGGGGGCAAACCCTGACACCATGCTCATGACCTTGAGGAGAGAGAAGGGTTCGGATAAGGCAGCTCATCCAGCGGACACTTTGAACAGTTAACTACTGATCAACACAATTTCTTCCCTCTCTACTTCCTGCGATTCTCAAGCTTATAAACTAATGCTTTTCCCCCTTGCTTCACTCCTGAGTTTGTAATACTTCCCTTTTCAAGATGGAATGACCTTTTTTCATTATTTACCAAGAACTAGATACCCACCACAAAATATTTAGAAAACATTGAAAAAACTGAAGAAGGAAATGTTTTTTTAGGATTTTTCATAGAGTCTCCCCCTGTGCTCTCTTGTATCTCTGCTGGGAGGAAATTCTACTCCAAAGAATGTGGTATTGAAAAAAGTGTGAGGAAGGGTTTGGCTGTCTTCCATCTTTTTAAAGGTATTGGCTTTTCTTCTACTCAAGTGTTTCCAAACCTTCGCCTTTCTTGAGCTCTTTAAACATAACTTTGCTTTTTGGACACAATTGAAATATTCATGATTTGCCTCAAAATAATAATGAAAATGGTACCAGCATCAATATTGATCCCTGGGAACATATTTTACACGTTTGGGAGGAGCCTATGAGTCATATTTTGGAATAATGACTTCAGCTGAGTTGATGCCTCTGTATCGGGTGTTAATGAGACAGACATGGCCTTCTCAGCCCATTTACTTCTCACTCTGCTTGCCAGCCACGTAGGACAGTTAACCCATGCTTTCCCATGCTGCTTGGCCTTCATTTCCCTCCAAATTTCTCAGTCACAGTTTCTCCTTACAGCGTCTCTTAGATTTGTCTGATCTCAAACCTGTAACACACACCAAATGTTTGCTAGCCCGCACCTCTCCTCTCTGGCTTGGTACCTCACACAGTAGGCTGGAAGCTACGAAACAACACAAAGCTCCCCTCTGGGAGACAGGACTCACACTGTCTATTGTCTCCCCACAGCAGCGCCTGCAGAGCACAAGGACTGCCACCACACAGCACCTGCATGGCCTCTGTCTCTCCCACAGTGCCTGCTGCTTGCTCAATTCAAATCAGTCAATAGTTAACCAATCGCAGATCCAGAAGCCTTACTATACTTGAAGATTAAGATGATAGCAATAGACTATCTATCTATCTATCTATCTATCTATCTATCTATCTATCTATCTA